TCCCGCATCCAAATGCTACCACGACTTCCGGCATGTCAGGTCTCAGCAGCACTGCTGGACACCTGCTCCACGCAAAGATCCTGGGAGACATGTTACCACAGACATGAAGAGGGATGCGTGTGTGCAGGTGCATGCTCACACATACATGTGAACCCAACACTCACACACTCACAAGAGCTACTGAAGCTGCAAGAGAGATACCACCTTGACAGCTCCCTGGTGGGCAGAGAGGAACAAGAGGATCCAGTGGAGACCCTTAGAACTGTGGACGGGTCTGCGGAGAAGCCTTGGTCCTCAGCCTGGATTTCACCGCTAAGGAAGCTAAGCTCCAAAGAAATCGGGACGCTTGTTTAAGATACCCACCCACTTGTGGCAGCTTGGGAACTGGAAGTTCGGGGCCCCATCTCCTATGCTACTGCTCTTTCCTTCTTCTAAGTCTCAGAAATGATCAGATCGCCAGGGCTGTTAATAAGTGGAATCCTCAGGACTTCCCACACTTTCCACTTAACAAGAGCGACGCTCTGGTTGGGGCTCTGGGGACCTTTTACCAGCGCTTCCTCTTGTCTTGGTTGCTCCTGCTCAAGGCTGCTTCCCAACGTGCACCCTCTGTGATCACCACGCAGGCTAGTGTGCCTGGGAGATACACAGGGCAAAACCAACAGCATGTACACAGATCTGCAAAGGCAAGCGCTCTGAACACCGGAGTTACTTTCCAGTCACAGTCACAGAACGGGAGGGAAGGCAGCCCCTGTGCTCAGCACCACGTGTAGAGCCGCTTTGCTGAAGAACAAGTGGGGCATTTTCGCAAACCCTGTGAGTCACTCCCGGGCTGCTCTAAGTGTGAGTCTTTCCTTGACTGCTGACGTAAGTCCGACAACGACAGGTTTCTTTTCTACGGCCAGAGGACTATCGTGTCAGTAGTTAAGGAGATGGGCTTATTTTTAAAGTAATTTAACAATGAAATGATGCTGCTAAGCACAGGTCTTTTTTTTTTTTTTTTTTCATCTAATGAATGAAAAAAAAAAGGCAGCTCAATACAAAGCTCAAGATGTGAGCAGGCCATGGTAGATGCAAAGGGTTTTGTGTGCTCACACAAGGACACCCGCACTTCTTCAACGCACCATTTCGCAAACGCTGTTGTATTGTTAGCAGGGGGCGGGTTCTGCCAGGCACATAATTTGTATATTTAAGGGAGGTGTATGGAACGAAAAAAGCAAAATATGTTAAATTTCAAAGGACTTGGAAGCAAGGCTGCCTGTAAGCTTGTATTACAAATAGCCCTACATTATTACATACACTGTTAATGAGGCCGAGTGAATGAAAGTACAATTTGAATATGCATGACTCTATCCAATGAGCAGGACTTTTGTGTACTGATGAGGTTTTTTTTTTCCCCTCCTAAAAAAAAAAGGATTAAAATTATTTTTTAAAGAAGTAGGGCTGCCCAGAGACCAGTAAAATCAATGTACTTAGACCACAGAATCACACTATATTCAGAAAAACACACAGGTGTTAAAATAATGCCTTGGCCTCCACCTACAATCTCTAAACTTGTGCTATCCCATCCTCCCAAAAAAGAATATTCCTCAACTTCAGGCAGCTGTGTCCATTATAATCTCTAAGCAAAAATAATGATTTTGCTGGAGATGCCTAAAAATGGGCAAGGTTAAATAAACCTTTTGAGCACAAAGCCTGCAATTCCGTGGTAAGGAGCACTAGTTAAAAGACTGGGGAATGGGTAAATTATTGCACCAAATGGCTGAGAATTAATCTCTGCTGACTAGCTGTAATCTAGCGAGGCGTCTGTGTCCCAGGGAGCCCGCAGCACGTCCCTGGCGGTATGTGCAGTGTGTTGAGTCTGCGTGGCACCCTTTGTCCTCGCTCGCAGGCGGCCTTTCCCCTCATTGTCCGTAATATCCTCGTGCATCTGGGACGCGTGGAATGCATTCATACTAACAGACTTACCATTGTTTTCTCGCAGAAGCTTTGTTGAGCAAAGACTGCATCACGGTTACTGATAATTATATTGCTTAATTAATCAAGACAAAAAAAATTTGCAAATCATTGCCTGGTTGCCAAGCAGGGAGATAAAAAATGACAACAATACAAGCTGAAGCAATATAACAAAAGTAACAGCGATCTGATCAGAAATTCTTATATAATGAAGCTATTAATGCTAAATCGGTTAATGTTAACATTGCTCCAGGTGTCTCTACTTAGATGCAAACAAAAAGGCTAACATTATGGATATAAAAGGCCAAATGTTGCCATGGATTCTGTAACCTGATAGAGAGGACAGCCTTTTCATTTGATTAGGGAATGCAATTTAAATACCAGGGACTGAAGCCAAACAAACAGACTTTCCCTCCACAAGCCTCTCGCATTCACCCTGGGGTCAGTAGTTGGTGAACAAAAGGTCAGCCACACTTGCCCTGGAAATGTCTGGATTAATTTTATTACATTGTAATGGTTTGTACTTTAAATGTCGGATAACACTAAAGTTCTACTTGGCCATTATTCTCTTCTTCCCTTTAGGCTTTTCAGATGAAAATATTGAGAGCAGTCTGCTCAATTCATCTTGTCAGAATTTATAACCAAATTTGTGAAACTTACTTTGTAAGAAATTTTAAAAATGAATGTGAAAGACCATTGTCATGCATTTTAAGTATATCACCTTTTACACAAATCACTTTGGATATCTTAAGCGTGAACTGAAATGACTTTCATGTTATTTACTTAAAAATAAAGGTGACATTTTTAGGAAATTAAACGACATTTTAGAGGGTCATACTGAAAATGAACTAATAAATCCAGTTAATCCACACTAAATATTAAGAAAAACACATTTTCTAGTTTTCAAGCCATAAGACGCTAAATTTATTGGTTCTTTAATATTAAAATTTTCAGTTTAATTCTTCGAGTGGTGCTCCTTGTGGACCAAGACAAATGTTAACACTAAGAGCCATTTTCTTACATGACTCTGAGAACTTCAGAGACAGGGAGATGGAAATCAAAGCAGCTAAAGCCATCATTTGTGACACCAGCATCCCATATGGGCACCGGTTCGAGTCCTGGCAGCCCCATCTCTGATCCAGCTCTCTGCTATGGCCTGGGAAAGCAGTGGATGATGGCCCAAGTCCTTGGGCCCCTGCACCCACATGGGAGACCTGGAGGACGCTCCTGACTGCTGGCTTCAGTCTGTCCCAGCCCCAGCCATTGCAGCCATTTGGGGAGTGAACCAGTGGATAAAAGATTTCTCTCTGGGCCAGCACCGTGGCTCACTTGGCTAATCCTCTGCCTGAGGTGCTGGCACCCCGGGTCCTAATCCTGGTTGCTCCTCTTCCAGTCCAGCTCTCTGCTGTGGTCCGGGAGGGCAGTGGAGAATGGCCCAAGTGCTTGGGTCCCAGCACCCACATGGGAGACCAGGAGGAAGCATCCAGCTCCTGGCTTCACATTGGTACAGCGCCGGGTGTAGCGGCCATTTGGGGGGTGAACCAACGGAAGGAAGACCTTTCTCTCTGTCTCTCTCTCACTGTCTATAACTCTCTCTCTCTCTGTCTCTCTCTCACTGTCTAACTCTGCCTGGCAAAAAGTTAAAAAAAAAAAAAAAGATTTCTCTCTCTCTCTCTCTCCCTGTAAACTCTGCCTTTCAAATAAAGAAAATAAATCTTAAAAGAGAGAGAGAGAGAATAGGTGAGGTCTTCAAAATGTCTGTGGAAAAGGGAATTTAAAGCAGCTTATTTAGGTACAAAACAATTTTGAAAGCCAAGCATAGCTTCCCACTCACTTCTGAAGACCCTGCACACAAATCTGTAATTTTTGGCACCTCTGCTCCCGGACTAGCGAGAAGGCCTCCCTGTGTGTGGGGCTCTGCGAGGCTGGACAGCTGAATCTCTCTGGGTTCAGCAGCTGACCCGAACAGTCTCTACCCTGAGAACTAACATGCACGTGAAACTCAGAATTCACTACTGCTTTCTTTCCATGGTACAAACTAGAACAAAAAGTACTGTAGAAATAGTGATAACAGTTAACATGGAAGTAGCTTTTACTTCGGGCTGGGCAACGTTTTAAGTCCTTTTGCTGGTTAGTTTATTTAGTTTCCACAACTTTCACACTTTAGGTTATACATCCCAACTAGAACAATAAGTCTCAGTTACCCATTATTCTAAAGCTTGAAAATAGTTTTTGGAATGGTAACCTTCAGCTCCTTTAGAACAACGTAGAATAAAAATGAAGATCAACTGAATACCTAGCCAAAAAATGCTGTCATTCTTCCTGAGTGGCTTAATGTGCTGAATGTTTAATTAAAAAACTAGAAAAAGAACCTCGGATAACAGTAATTCCAAAACAAAAGCAAGGCACCGTATATAAAGCATTGCTAAGACAGCACTGAAGGCATGGCTAGGATTGAAGCCGTGGCCATTTAGTGTATGCCACACACAGACCATTGGATTGTTCCAGCCCTCCAGGATCAATACCAACTGACACTGCTGAATTGATTCTGCGGCAAGGCGCTTCGATTGTTAGACACATCAAGTGCTGGCCTCCGCAAGGACACGCCCGTCATCCCCGGGCCAGCAGCAGAGGCTCAGCGAGCATGGTGACCCAGGAGGCAAGGCTGGGCCCTACACTCCAGCCGTCCACCGAATGCTGCCTGTGCTCTGGGCTTCCTTTGGCCCTTCCTACTAATTGACAGATCCAAAAGTGCAAATCAGTCTCTGTAAACTCTACGATTTTAAAAACCTGACCGTCTTAAACATGGTAAATATCTTAGCCAGTATAATTTTCAGAGGCCAAGCGACACAAGGCTGAATTCTGTGCTCATGACGGCAGATTCTCTGGAAATCCAAACCCCTAATTCCAAAACAGCACGCGGAATTCAGATGTGTGTAAGACACCTGCTGGTAGGAGGAGAGTCCCCATTGCCACAGTGCTGCTTTTCCAGTGAATCCTACGGGCAGGAGCTGAGCAGTCAGAGCGAGAACGTGGTGGAAACGTACCTCAGGCTTCTTCGTTATCGAGATAAAGAACATGTGATTCTTCATTGGGTAAATGATGATGGAAACATCTCCAAAGGCGGTCGGTATAATGCCCCTGCGGTAGTCCCTGGAGTGCTCAGACCAGACGATGTGGACCTCATCATTCCCCAAGTGACGGAGCTGCGAGAACAAATTGGCTCTTTATTAATCAAGGTGATAACAGCAGTTTATGAGGGGTCATGGCTTACAAATTGAATTATAAAACTCTGAGGCAAAAGTATTTTACTACCAAAAAAGGCCACAACAGTGATGCTTCCCCTGAGGATTCAAAAAAAGCACAAGTGCCTAAAAACACAGGAAACTCACTGGTACTAAGACAATGCATGCGAGCCAGTGCTTGTGGGCACATCACGAGTGGCTATGTCAAGGATTTTTTTTAAATGGAATTTTACTTCTGCATCAGCCGGGGCCTTATGCTTTCTATTGCTCAGCCTGCTTCTAAACAATGGAGAGCATAAGCCTTTTATCCCACATTACCGTAGGTGCTTCCTAAGACTCTTAATTCAATGGTTATTAAGAAAATAAAAATATGAATATAAAGGAACATGAGCCATTATAGCACAAGTTACAAAATGCATGAGAAAGTACATTTATGATAAACCATTAAGAAAGAGATTTTACAAAATCACCTTTTGTTTAGGAAACTAATGAATTTCATAAGAACACTAATAACTAGCACTTAGAGTGGTCTTACTGTCTAGAAAATATGTTCATACATATTATCTTGTTTAACCTTCCCACCAGCTCTCTGAGGTAGACCAGGTCATCTTTGTCTCATCTGAAAGGAGAAATGGGAGCTCAGGAAGGTGAGGGCACTGCCCACCCTAGGGTGCCTAACAGCATTGGCAGAATAGGCCTGGGGCTCCCTGGTCAGTGCCATCTCTACTGTTCCATAGCTACCCAGGCTCACACCCAGAGTGACTTCATTGTCGTAGCCCAACTAGCTCAGCCCGCTTGCTTCCTCATTTTCATGTACAAAGAGGATGCAAGGCCCCCAGACAAACAGCACACTCCCAGCCTTGACATGGAAAGTCTCCAAGGAAGGGTCTTTTGCCAGCCCTCCCGGGGCCAAGCTGCGTCAGATGGCAAGAGCACCCTTGATGGATCTCCTCCGTGATGCCTGCCCTGGCCCAGGCTGGAGAAAGCTGCCTGTGAAATCAACCGAGTGAGCCGCAAGAGAAACCAGGTCCTAGAGATTAAAACCTAGGCCCAAACGCGTGTTCTCAAAGCACCACGGCTGGCTGTGACCGCCCCTCCGACACCTCCCGGCATGAGGTTCCGCTGCGTTCCACAGGGGCAGCCGAGGGCGCTATCTACCACCGGGGACAAGTGTTTCTCGTTCCTTGCTCACCTCATGGGTAAACACTACAAATGACTAATATCAGAATCACTTTTGAAAAAAAAAACAAAGGCGGGGTATGTTGTGTCAACGCTAATGCTTGAGTTTTGTCTTCAAAGAGCAAAAAGGATGCTCCGGAGTATGGTGCATTTCGAGCATGCTAGCAAAAGCGCAACTTTCTTTATAGACTATTTGACCAGAAAGGGAAAATGTGAGGTGACCCCAAAGCGGGCGCGTTCCCATTTAGAAGGTTACGACGGAAGCTGATCTGCCGAGATGCCTGTATGTTCTTTCCTCTCCCAGCATTCTGGGAATGACATTATTTCAAAGGAGACTTGCACCTGTACCTTTGTACCTATACTGAGAGATGAGCGATTCAGTTGTGTCTGAAACTGGGCTCCAGGACAAAGGCAGCTGCGGGGGCAGAGGACAGGCCACGACGATCCAGAACAATTTAACGGCATCTGTGACTTTCTGAAGGCCAGATTACCCAGCGTATCTTTTTTTCCCCTTCTTTGTGCTTCCCTCTCCCCTCCCACACACATAAAGGCTCACTGGGTAGCAGGCAACAGGTGTAGCCAGCCCTTTCCATAAACAGTAAAAACACAACAGCAACTCTGGCTTCTCATGGTAGCTCTCAGCATCTCTCTGTACGCCTCTAATCCCAACTTAGATACTACAGGTTTTCTTCCCTTTTTAATACAACATGCAAGGGCCTTAAAACACGCTCCTGCAATTCGGTCCTTTTGCAGTGAAAACATGGTAGCCAGTGTCACCAGCAACACTGTGGTGGGAGGAACAGGGACAGCACACGACTGAAGCTTTGGGAATAAGTTAGATGAGCAGTAGGTCACACCTACAGCCTTCCCTCGGCAAAGGGAGGCAACCTTGGCTGGTTCTGGGCTCCCTGCCTTTATGACGGGCGCGAAGATCTCATGGGAACATCCTGTCTATCACACACGGCTCAAGTGTGCTGCTCCACCCGAGGCCAGGACCCAGAAACCTCACAGCTCCTTGTGGTGTACATTAGCTCTGAGTTAATACAGTGAGTATTGAAATTTTGCAGTTACTCTCCCCTTTCTAAATCGGGTTACTTAACTTCATAACCCAACTAAGTCTCTCCTAATTTTATTTGTAACTGTGTTCTCCAAAGTACAGCAAGGGAGGGTAGTATCACACCGACAGACCCATCCTCCCGCGCGGCAGTGCTATCCTTAAGGAAGAGCTGTTGTTATGTGCTGATAATAGAACAGTGACCATCTCAAAGCTGCCTTCCATGTCACGGTTTAATTAGCTAAACCGTAAACTCAGGGCCAAGGCTGCGGAACTGGTCGGCTGATAAATCTGGACCAAACAGCAAAAAGTACATCTTCTTCTGCCTATAACAAGGACACATGTAGGTAAAACAAGCGCAATCAATCCGAACAAACTAGAAACGTGCCAGTGGGTTTGTTCAGTGCACACCCAGTCAAGGCGGTCGTGATGCATGGGTAACCCCAGGGAAGACTGACGGGCTGTGCACTGGGATGGAGCCGCCTTGCCCCCGCCACTGCTGCCACTACACAACTGGCTCCAGAGTGCCGGGGTGCTTATCTGGCTCCGAACAAACGCTAGGCTCCCAAGTCTTAAGAAATCAGCCCCATGTGCTGCCACTCTCCATCCGGATGGAGTTTTGAAGTCTCACTAGCAGGGTTGTTTTGCCGGCTGCCGCCAAGGCTGCACGCCGCTGGTGACACTGGTCACGGTCCACACCTAATGGGCTGACCTCCTTTCCCGACTAATTGCATTACACTGCCAGCTGGCCCCAGAATGGAAGAATTGAAGAATTCCTGCTCCTCAGCGGGCCCGGCTGCTACTTTTACTAAGTAACAGTCAGGCCTGACGTCCCCATTGTTCAACTGACAGTGCGCCCATCCTAAAATCTAAGTTTTATTTGTAAATTAACCAAGAAACTTCCTGCCAGAACAGTGCTGCCTGGAGACTGATAATGTGGGCCTTTCATCCCTTCTCCCTCGTACTGTATCACTGCCAATTTGTTTTTTATGCGGCTGGCCAGCCCGAGGCTATAAAAGCCTTGTAAGACATAAGTGCAATTATAGTCCTGGAGTCAAATGAATTGGACAAATCCAATAGCACAGCTCTGTCCCCACTCTGCAAACCCCTACAGCAGTTAGATTAGCTGTGAAAAATCTAATCTAGCTGCAGCTAACAAATTTCTGCAGTGAAGGATCAAGAGTTCAGTATGGGGTTGCAACCGGATTGCAGAATTGAAAAAGTCCCCCCATGACAGGGGCAGCAGAGAGCATGAATCACTTTAGGATGTTGCAGCTCATTTTTAAGCTGTTAGGGACAATTTAGTTAGAATAAGACAAGGAACTGCGGGCTGCTGCTACTGCGGCTGATTTTTAGTCTAGCTGTGAGACATCCTGATAAAGAGAGTTTATTGCTAATGATGCTAAATCTTGGAGCTGCGAAAGGTTATCAGCTGAATTTTGATTATTACGGTAGGGGTTCTTTCTACCAGGCCAAGCCTTGGCACATTATTTATGACATGGGATTTTGTCAAGAAAACAGTAGGTCTTTTCTCAAAAACAACAAAAAAAACCCCACAACCGTACATTTACTTAAGAAGCAGTTTCAGAGATATGTTATACATAAATCTATCTTCTAACAAAACAGTCTTACATCACAGAAGCACAGAAAACAGTGATGCATTTGCAGAATGGTGACAATTTACATGGCGCAGAAAATTGTAAAAATGGCCAAGCCCCGCTTAGGGTGCTGGTAGGCTGCACTAGGTTCTCTGAGATGCTGGGTGAAGCCCCTGCAGGGTGAGACCTCCCCACCCCGCCTGCCTCCCTACCCCCACCCCACTAAGAGCTCTGTCTGCAGCAAGGGTCAGTTATCAAAAACCCGAGTCGCAGAAGCAACTCCTCTGACGCCTGTGGGAAACACGCATGTGGTCGGCGCGACTGCTGTGGGGCTCCCACCGCCAGGAGGCCATTCCGGCATGTGGGGCTGGCCGCGTGAAAGGATGCTGGGCCTTTGCATGCTCGTCATGCCGTCTGAGACACTTGATCATTATGAAAGGTGTCTGTAATGGGGCTGTGACCCGAGTTCTGATGCCTCACATGCACTGCTGCCCATCATGTAAACGGTCCAGATGTCTGTGGCAGCGCTGGTCAAAGAGCAAAACCGCAGAGAAAAGAAATGCAGCAGGTACAGCGAGGCCCATCAGCCCGTATCAATCATCCGGCTAACGGGCCGGGGGGAAGAGGAATCAATTAGACCCATGGGCAGTGGTGAGGGATGATGGTGAGAGCGATGCTATCAGGCTCAGCACCTGCACTGGCATCAACTCACTCAGCTCTCTTAGCAATCCTGTGGCACAGGCTATTTTTAATCTCATTGAAAAGATGGGAAACGGAGGCATGGGCTCATACAATAGACATACACTTGAGCCCAGGGCCACCTGTCTCCAGGGTCTGGTGGCACCTAGCACTCCAGACTCCCCAGTGGCCAGTCTTTGCTGGTGTCTCGGCGCTGCCCTCAGTTCCTCACACTGCGTTGTAGGGAGACAGTGGGTGTGAGGTTGGGATTCTAGGACCTGTCGTTTGCCAGGTGAGGGCAAATTTCACAGTTGCTCTGGGACTCTTATCTCCATGGCAACTTCCAAGACCCAAATGCCTCTTCTATTAGGGCACCCTGCTCACTTCTAACCCGGGGTCCCCTGAGGTGCACGTCTCCCATTTGGAAGTACAGGGCCAAGTTTCCCTGGGGAGGGTTTTCAGGGGTAGGTGAGCATTCCTTTGAATTCCAGGGGAAAGGGCCCACTGGGTGCCAGCTGAAGCAGAGGGCAAGGTGGGCAGTGAAGGTGAGACGGCTGGGCTGCAGCACACCTGCACCTGCCATTTGACAGATGCTCCCAGACCGCACCATAGCCAGCCTGCTCTGCTTTCCCAGAGCCCATCGGTGCATTTGTCAGGAAGCCCACTCTACTCTGTCAGCCCTGCCAGTCAGTGAGGGTGAAAACATTACTTTCTGTAATTCACGTGAGGGGGGACCCAAGAGTAGCAGCATTTAAGACCCTCCCTTTTCCTAAACCTCAATCCCAGGACTTGCGACTGCGGTGCGTGATGCTGTTCATGAACGTCTCTATCTAGCTGGATGCTACAGATGAGCCACAGCAGCCGTGGGGCAGATGGCGCTCCTGGTGAGTGCAGAGGAGACGGTTGCGGCCGGTGCAAGGCCTGGATCCATGGCCAGCGCCAGGACAGTCTCGCTGCTCATGAGGGCAGCCACGCCTGGTCTTGAAGGAGGCCCCTTACCTTTTTGGTGAGAGAATCATCCGAGTCCGAGGGCATCCGGGTGGACACGTGGAAAATCACTTCCACGGTTGAGGTAGCGTAGTAAGGGGCGGTCTGCCCGGTGCTGCCGTTGCGCTGCAGGCCACCCATGAAGCCACAGTGCGTGGAAAGGTCCACCTGACCAAGGTCACGAGAGGAGAAAAGAGCCCGGGTCAAGACTGACCTCTTCCTAATCACTAAGCAGGAATGTGGACGCCAAAGGACTCATTACTTTTCACTTCTGTATCTTTCCTTCTGATTACATACAAATGTCATGCAAAATTAGCTAAGATAAAAATATTCAGGAAATAAAGAATATTCAGGATGAAAGTGCTCCAGGATCCCACCAGGTGGAGAAAACCACTACAAACAACTCAGTGTGGATTTCTCCCCTCTTAAATACACACATATATGTATGCGTTTATATGTAAGTGTGTATGTGTACAGGAGCCCCCAGTTATACATTCTCAGACCCCAGTGAACGCCTGACACTGCAGATGGCACCAAACCCTACATGTACTATGTTTGTTTTTTAGAGATTTATACATTTATTTGAAAGGCAGAGTGACAGAGAGAGGGAGAGAAGGGGAAAGAGAGAGAGAGAGAGAGAGAGAGAGAGAGAGAGAATCTTTCATCAACTGATTCACTTCCCAAATGGCTGCAACAGCCAGAGCTGGGCCTATCAAAAGCCAGGAGCCAGGAGCTTCTTCTGGGTCCCCCATGCGGGGTGCAGGGGCCCAAGAACTTGGGCCATCTTCTACTGCTTTCCCAGACCATAGCAGAGAACTGGATCAGAAGTGGAGCAGCTGGGACTCAAATTGGTGCCCATATGGGATGCCGGTGCTCAGGCCTCCCAAATTTTCCAATGGGCATAAACTAGTATTCTTCCAGTAAATTATTCTCAGACACACAAAACAGAAGAATATCCTTTGTGCCATGTACAATCAACATATACTTTGAGTTAATGCTCTAGTCTTTCATAAAACTCTAGTGTAAAATATATTAGTCCAATAATAACATTTTATGACAAAGAAGAATTCAGCTTCTTAGCGAAGAGAGCAGTCATTTCCTGGCAGCACAGTAACTCAGCTATGCTACAGCCCATTTGGCTTCCTAGAAAGAGCAGCCTTGCACATGGTGCTTCCCCCTCCCGTCCCCTTGCTAGCACTGGACTCGCAGACAGCTTGCGCTTAGGCACCCGGAGAGTTTCCCACAACACAGACGACTGAGAAACCCAAAGAGATGTGATTCAAAGTAAGAAGATTATTTTAGATCTGTTGATTCCCATTTTAGCTACTCTGAATTACTTCGGATTCTGGGGATACGTTTTCCTTTATCGTTTTGACCCTGGGAGACATGAGTGGGTGTTTGTGAGTGCATAAAAGCACCTGTCTCAGCCTCAGAGTATCGCTTTGTAAGAAATAAACATGCTTTTTCAAATTGGTCATCTTGGGATTTTAGAGAACTAGCTTGATAGTCAACCTATCATGAATACCAGATTTTCATTTCAACTTCTGACTCCACTGAACTCTTATTTCATCTTTTCACCCATCAAATCATTGACTTCTGTTTTCAAATATTTTCATTTGCTGAGAGAGAGATAAGGAGAGAGAGAGAGAGAGGGAAGAAAGGAGGGGAGAGAAAGAGAGAGAGAGAGAGGAAGGGAAAAAGGGAGGGGGGAGAGAGGGGGAGAGAGGGGGAGAAAAGGGGAGAGAGGGAGAGACTGATTGTCCATCTGCTGGTTCATTCCCCAAATGGCTGCAAAGCCAGGAGACCAGAAATCCATCCAAGTGTCCCACGTGGGCCATCTTTTGCTGTTTCCCCAGGTGCATTAGCAGGGAGCTGGATGCTGGATCAGAAGTGGAGCAACAGGGACTTGAACCAGTGCTTACATAAGATGCTGGCATCACAAGTAGCAGCTTAATCTGCTGAGCCATAGTACTGGCCCCAAGTCATTGATTCTTGTTCAATCTCCATGTTGTGGCCAAGGCCACTGCTTCTCTGCCCATATTTGTCTTCACTTACTAGAAACTGTCTATCCTGGGTGAGCCCATCTGACTACTCAGTATTTATACAAAGCACGTGAAAAATTGTTTTGAGGAAAGTTCAAGTATAAAGTACTGAAAAGCAACAAACAGAAAATGTCAAATTCAATACATTCTGCAACTCTAGAACTCTACCTATACTATCATTTAAAGAATTATTTATTTGAGATACACACACACACACATACACACACACACACACACAGAGAGAGAGAGAGAGAGAGATCTCCCATTAAATATTCCCAACATCCAGGGTTGGGGCCAGGCTGAAGCCAGTAGTTGGAAACTCAATCTTTGTCTCCCAGGTGGATGGCAGGGACCCAGCTACTGAAGCCATGAACTGTTGGTTCCCAGGATTTGTGTGAGCAGGAAGCTGGAATCGAGAAAGCACATAGGGCCTGAGTCCAGGCACTCTGAGATGGGATGAGAGCATCCCAGGGGCCATCTCAATGGCTGTGCCCAATGCCACTCCCTGCTTATGCTACCTTTGAATATAAAAACATGTAACAAACTACACAGTGTCTGCTTTAGACATCGCATTAAGTAGTGCTGGTCAAAACATACTAAATGGAATTCATTACCTCCCATCCAAGTCCAGCAACGAAGTCTTCATACGCCTGGCTTCCTCTTTCGTTGGAGAGGATGGAGCACTTGTCTTCCTGACCCTCGGCAATGTAGAACACTGCAATTTTGTGAGTCTCACGGCTGTAAATTTTTAAAGTTAAAGGAGTCAGAACCCTTATATATACAATTTTATTTTACTATCTATCATGACTCTGGTTTTTTTTTTTTTAAGATTTATTTATTTATTTGAAAGGCAGAAAGAGAGGGGGAGGGGGAGGGGGAGGGAGATCTTCCATCTGCTGGTTCACTCCCCAAATGGCTACAACAACAGCTGAGGCTGGGCCAGGCTGAAGCCAGGAACCAGGAGCTGCTTCTGGGTTTCCCAGGTGGGTGTGGGTGTGGTGTAATGAGAGGGCCATGCCAAGATGGCCACTGGCAACAGAGCCAGCCTGGAAACAGGCTGTGATTGGATGGCTTCGGAAACTGCCTGGCAACAGTTTGTGATTGGTTAGGGCATAAACCTCCCCTTGACCAGATTGGCTGCCTTGGCTATATAAGCTGCTGTAACAACTGAAATAAATGAGTCTGCACGCTGCTCGCCTCTGGCCTGCTTTCACCTGGCTCCCGGGGTCTGTGTGGTGACTCTGCGCCTCTTGCCCCCACCACGCTCCTCTCAGAACGTATCCACCTCAACATGCAGAGCCCCAAGTACTTGGGCCATCTTCCACTGCTTTCTCAGGCCATAGTGGAGAGTTGGATCAGAAGTAGAGCAGCCAGGACTCAAATGGGCACCCGTATGGGATGCTGGTGCTGCAGGTGCAGGCTTAAGAAGCTATAGCACATCACCAGCCCCAGATTCCCACTGCTGTGCTTGTATTTACTGAGAACTTAGTAGGGGTCCATGACTGTTTGAAACAAGACCTCATTTATTCTTAGCAACTGCTCTAATGAGATAATTACTACTATAGTCACCTCTCTTTTAGTGGTGGTTGAAGGGAGGCATGGAAAGTGACACAGAAAAGCATATATAACGAGCAGGGGACTGGGCATGGCAACAAGGCACTCTGCTTCCTAAGAGTACACCCTAGACACAGGTCCACTGAGCAGCATGCGAAAACACGTGGTTGTGCACCTTCTTCCCGGCTGGTAAAGAATATCTTCTAAAGTCACTCAGACTGACGCGTCTGAATACGTCCACGTGACCACCCACCTTTCTAAACCTGGATATGAAGCTGTTGGGTGGTTTGTTGACTGGGTCTGTAAAATACCCCAAGATTTCTTCCAAGCAGGACATGCTTAGGTATTTTCTTTGTGCAGGGGTGTGCCAACCCCAATTTCTGACTACCCTGAGGGGGCCTTGCTGGGGGGAGAGTTAGCTATCTGGGGCAATCTTTTTCAGCCCCAGAGACCTCTGCCTGCTTCTTCCTTGATGCATTTTGGGCACTTTAGTATTAATTCAGGGAAATATGATTCCCACTTTGAGGAAAAGAGCCCTGACTTTTTTTCTTTAATCATTTTGTGCATCTTGCACAGTCCTTGGTGTGCACTAGATGTCCAGTTATATCTGTTATACGTGACATATTTGAATGTCTAAACAATTTTTATAAATTTACCTGGAGTAAGGTGCCAAAGTAACTAGACCTGTACCAAGCAATTTGGTGATAATGTAGAGATGAAAACAATATTGTACAAAGAGAGCTTTAATGAAGAATCACTCATTCCAAAGTCCCCCTCATTCATGAGTTTTACCACATTCCCTAAAGGTTCATATAGCCCCTTCTGCAGCAGTTTCATGCTTCTCCTTATTTTCGCTTATATTCTGAAAAGTCTCATCGGAAAAACTATCAAGTGTTTTAAACAGAAATGTTTCTTTGGGGACTGGCACGCTGTGCAGCTGTTAAGATACCACCTGGGATGCCCACATCCCATATGGGAGTATCTGAGCTTAAGTCCCAGCTCCACTTCTGAGCCAGCTTCCTGCTAATGTGCACCCTGGGAGGCAGCAGGTGATGGCTCAAGTACTTGGGTTCCTGCCACCCACATGCGAGGCCAAGATAGAGTTCCAAGCTCCTGGCTTTGGCCTGGTCCAAAGTGTTTCAGACATTTGGGGAGTGAGCCAGTGAATGGAAGATATCTCTTTCTCTCCCTGTGTTTCAAATAAATACACAAGTAAATAGAACTTTTAAAAAAGAAATGTTTCTATTATCTAATTGTTTAATATCTCAACATTGTAATCTGATAAGACACTAATATTGGTATGGAATTAGGTTCCAAATTTTAACAAATTAATACCACCTTCTGCATGAATTATTTTTCTACTTAATAAGCAGGACTAGTTGAAGCTCAGCTTATATAAATAACTGGAGGAGGAGAATTCTCTCCTTCTATTCAGCTTATATAGCTTGGCTACTCTATAGTTTATGGTAATAAACATACCTGGATGAAAAATTACAACATACAGAAACAGTAAAAAAATCATTTGCAATCTCAACATGTAAGCAAAGGATATAGCTGTTAACATTTTTGGATGCATTTCTGCAGATAAATACAAGGACCTACTGTACTCTATTGTGCAACTGAATTTCTTCACTTAAAAAAATTTGCAAACACTTTTTCTTACTATGGTAAAGTATGTTATCACATAAAATTTCTCATTTCAACCATTTAAGCGTGAATGCTTAAACCAGGTGCTCCCAGAACAAAATTATTAACGGTTGTACAACATTCGACTATGTTAATAGACCAATTCCCACATTATCAGTAGTGGGTATTTAGGTTGCTTCTATTTTTAAAGACACTTTCTCATTATCTGTAATATGTCCTTAAAATAGAAACAGATTTTATTGGTTACTACATATATATATATATACACACACACATATATATACACACATATATAAATAATTTTTTTACAGGCAAAAGACAATAAAACAGAGGGAGGGAGAGACTGAGAAAGTGCTCCCATTCACTGGTTCACTCCCAAATGCCTCGATCAGCTAGAATTAAGCAAAGCCAAAGCCAGGAGCCAGGAACTCAACACAGGGTTCCCAGGTTTCCCATGTAGGTGGCAGGAACTCCAGGATTTGAGCCAAGGTCCTCCTAGGACTTGTGCTGGCAGAAAGCTGGAGTCGGGAGCTGGAGCTGGAAATTGAACCCAGGCATTTGGATATGGGATATGGGCTCCTTAACCGCTAGGCTTACAACCTGCCACTACTGCCCTTTTTTTTTTTTTTTTTTTTTTTAGCTTTTGATACATATTGCCCTGCTGGCACCTGAACACCCTGCCAGGCGTGCAAGAGCACAGCCTGTGAGGCGTCTCTCTTGATGGGAACAGTGCTGTAAGGAAGAGGACTTCTGTGGGGAGGGATGCTGGAGGGCTGAAGCTCTTGTGGAGACCTTGCATTCTGTCCAAAAGCTAGTGTTCGTGCTCTAGGGCGCTCTCAGATCACCACCATTTACTGCCCAGTGTGACAGGCAGGGGACATCCAGAAGGGACACCTAGAATCTGATTAGCCTAATCCAAGAGCTATAACAGCTTGGAAACTCAGATAATAATAGAAATCATAATTTATGACCTAAAAAACTGTCTCTTTCAACAAAAGGAGAAAAAAAGTATAGTTACTCAATGGCTTTCTATAGTTCTCTCCATGTATTCAAGTCTTCAGCATTTCATTATTCTCTGTTCTACAGACTTTAACACAACATAAAAGCAACCTCAAGTTCATTTGAAATGTTTCTGCTTGTTCTCCTGGAAGTCCAAGCTTTATTCCGCTGTAGCTGCTCCTGAGTCCTTGAGTCCTGATTAACCCAAGCTGCGAGCACAAGAGAGCAAAGCCCCAGTGACGGACTGACTGATGCGAGGGTGAGGAAAGGTGACCTTTAGTTGTAAACAGTCATCAGATTTCACATCCTCCAAAATGTTAGCACCGCAGAGAGCCTGCTAGGCTGCAGCCGCTGCGTCTGGCCTTATTAGAACCGGGCTTTTGAAATGGTAATTACGACATCAACAGCACTTCATACCCATAAGCCCTACAGCCAACGCGTGAAGGAGCAGGTAATTCAGGAACACACATACACAACATCAACAATTTCCCCTTCCTCACTAGGATGCGGTTTTCTTTCTTGCGAGGGACAGAGCAGAATAGCTCAGTCTCCTTGTCCTATCACACTGAAAAGCCAAACCAAAAGAAACCCGCGGTTTCCACATCTATCTCACCATGCAGTGCCGAGGCGGCACTCACGCGTGTGTTTAAGAGGGGAGCCCAGCGTGGTTTGCAGGTCCAGTCACTCATCGCACTATTTGCCTCTTGGCTAACGTCACAGATGGTCTCCACCTTCCTTAAGAGGGCACTTAGAAGGAAGGAACCGTGAGAGCAGTTCCTCGGCCAGCAGTGACGTCAACTGATTCCAGAAATAAAATGAATGTCCTATGGAAAGCTGGGGGACACGGTGTCTTCCTCCCTGCTCCCTGACGAGTATGTGGGACCACACAGACTTCCTGGAGCTGAACTGCCTCAGACTTATTTCCAGCGTTTTCAAAAAAAGAACCTTGAAAATACTTTTCACCATAAAACGGCCTTCTGGATGTCGGAACGACACTAAACCCTGGAGTTGGGGTTTCAAGTGAGGGCTAATCAAGGGGCAGAGGATTGCCCATCGGCTATTCAAAGCCATATTTTACGGCAACAGTGCCCCAGGGAGCTGATCCAATTGTATCTCAGGCAACTAAAGTGCATTAACACTCAACAAATGGGCCACAATTACAAGATACCAACGTATTCACTTCCTACCAAGAAGCCCTGGATGATTCGGCACATGCTTCACAGGCTGGGCTTAGAGGACAGGAGGGAGAGGGAAGTGAATGCCCAAGCCCTTCTGGGACACAAACAAACAAACAAACAAACAAATCCTACAGAATTTCCACAGAGAACTCGGTTTCCGTTCTCTGGAGTAAAAAAGAATCCCAGCTAACAGTCGGGAAGCTGGATCAGATGAAGGGCAAGGTGCAGAATAATGGCTTTAGGTTTTCCACCCGTAAGGAGTTTCATAAAATCCTTTGGACTCAAAGCTCTCACTGTAAGTTCCATTGGATGAACCAGGAAACAAAGACATTTTGAACAGCCAGGGGGGCTTCTGGCTAGAGCATGGTTCTTTCCCGAGGTGCAACTGGAAATGAACCGTTGAATCCTATACCCTCCCTTTTTTAAGTCCTGTGTATTTCTTGATGCTAAACTATCTATCCCTCTCCAGTGAGCAGTGATGCCACCTAGAAGAAAAGTCCCACCTATCTCTTTCTGCAGAGGGAGTCAGGCTTGGAACAGCACCTGCCCAAGCCTCAGGAAATGTACATGAAACAGTTTGTGCCCTGACCTGTGTGTAGCTGTTAAGAAGCTGCTAAAAGGTCCTGAATGACCTGGAAGGCATCTGGGAAGGCAGAAAAGTAAACAAGGGAAAAGGAAAAAAACAAAAGGAAGAAAGGAAAGAAAATCTATGTCTTCCGATCCCCATATAGTGGCCAATGCAAATGAAACCCTCTCAATATTATATGTTTTGAAGGAGTGAAAGGACACATAGCCATCAATAAGCCTAACATGATTTTATTTGTTCAGTCAGTCCTTAGTGGTGTTACAAAGGACCACTTAAAAAAATCGTCCCCCGTATATCTAAAAGAAAATTCCAACTGGAGTGTACTGTCTATTGTGTTTATATCCAGGTCCAGGAATCAAGCCATCAAATAGGATCCCAGTTGCAAACCTGATATGCAAGTAACAGTGACATGAACAAGTTCGCTCGAAAATAAAATTTAAGTGTATGTCACTCAGAATTTCGATCAAAACTCTAACATAAATGGCAAAAACCACAACAAACCCATCTAAACACAAAAGATGGTAACAGTGTTTTCTTGGCAGGTCACAACTCATCACTGTAAGTGTCTTCCGGGAGAACCTCGTGCCCTAAAAGGAAAGGGTAGTGGATACAGGAAGGAGTGATGAATGAGGTCACAGGCCAGTAACTTCCCCAGATGCCAGGACCAGGCCAACGGGGCTCTGCGCTCTCCTTTCTTCCTTCTCCCTTACTCAGCCAGCAACTGTACCACTCTTTGAAAACACACAGCTCAAAAAAACGTATTTTAAAATTCATGAATCAAGAAGGAGCGAGAAAAATGTAGGGAATAAAACACAGTATGAAGAGCTGAAAAATCAACTTGAAGAAAACAATCTGAATTTTTATTTGAGAGCTGATGAAATGTTAGGATATTCCTAAAGCAGGTTTTGTTTTGTTTTTTAGAGGTTTTTAAGAATTAAAGATGAAAGAAGTAGTTTATCTTTTGCAAGACTTTTAATAAGCACCTGTTACGTCCAACCACTGTCCTTATTCTGGACTTAGAAGGCTTTGGAAGCACACGTTTCCCCAGATCACAAAGTTGGTTATGGCTGTGAGCTCATCTTTGGAAATACTTCCAGAAGTATACAGAAAAGCTGTAAAGAAACCTGAGGATCTGACCAACTTTGGGGAATGAGGTTAAGTAACAGAGAGTTATTAATTCCAGCATGTTGCTTTCAGTTTTCCAATATTGGAAAGCCAATGGCATTCAGGTTGCCAGTGCATTGGTGTACAGCATGGACTATCACAACAGACATACTCAAGTCCAAGTAACACCGCCCAGGCGTCTGTGGGCTCTCTGACCTAGGTAAACCTGTTTCTTAAACAGAAAAAGAGGTGGCTGCAGAGACTACATGAAAATCAGTATCTACCGGCTGCTTCACAGAACGGTACTCAATGCAAAGTGCAGACTTGGCGGGGGGCACCGACCTCTCTCTGCTTAAGCACAGCAAACATAAAAAGCTTAAACCTTGTGGATAAAAATGCCAGAAGTATGGCATGTGCAAATGCCAGGGGAGTCCAGGTTACAGGACGACCCTCGGGTGTCTCCGTGGGCACAGTCACTGCTGCAGCTGTTTCTGTTTTCTAAGCACACACAGGGACAGAGAGTGCTCTGGCCCACATTCACGTACCACTGCCGGGAGTCCAGATTCTTGAGCTCTCGCAACAATTTTGAATTTTTCTTCAACAGATGAAAATTCTTCCTTTAAAGAAAAAAAAAAAAAACAGTAGATTGGAGAAAAATGTGAACACAGAATAATTTTGTCATTTTCCAATCTATTACAAACATACCTAACGTCTGTCTACCTACCGCCTAACCTACAGAATAAACTCTACTCTCCGTAAGACTTGCAAAAGGCATACAAATTCCACTGCACCCCTGTTACTATCCAGGGCCACTGAGGGCTCTGTGGTCCACTGCCCCCTCCCCGCACCCCCTTAAACACCAAACCATCAGGCCCCAGCTCAAAGCTCTACAGTCTTCTCCACTGCCCGCGTTTCTTATTGGATTTGGGCATTCCTCTTGGGCTCCTGTGTCACTTCATCCCTCACCAGAGCTGTGCCAGGTCGTCCTCCCTCACCACACCTACAGGCAGACGGAAGCTTATTCACCTGCATAGTCTACTCCCATCCTGCGTGCAGGTCAGGATGATAACAGACAGAGCATCATTAAAAACTCACACACACACAGAAAATGCTCGAAATCCTTTAAAACAGCCAACAGGTGTTTGGAATTCAATCTGTGTACCAGTGCAACACAATCAGTCCCATTGCTGGCTTTAACTTGGCAGCTGAAGGCAGAAGAGCCTCCACCACTATTCTCACCTCCCTCAACTGCAAGCTGACAAAAAGGTCCCGGGGAAAATGCTGATCGAAACGGGCACGAGGCTGGCACGGGCTGTTACCTCCTGTCCCAGGAGTTCATGCCCAGGTCGTCGAGCAGCAGCCTGCAGAAATAGAAGGGTCCTCGGGGCTCCACCGGGGACGGCTGCCCCTGGCCTGTGACCTTCATGGCAGCCTCAGAGCCGCACCTCTGGACGAACTCCTCCTCCTGGGCGTCCTGGCGCAGGATGACCTCCGTGATTTCCCGCTCTTGCTCACGGTTCATCCCACACGGCGGCGGGGAAGGCTCGTTCAGATTTAGCTGTGATGGCAAAAGGCATTCGGGGCTTGTTTGGCCAATGTTTTCAAGTAGTTGGTCGAGGATGTCCTCTCCCTCCTCAATTTGAGGAAAATCTGTCTGAGGTCCACAGGGGGCATGATCCCAGCTGGAAATCAGAAACGAAGGGTTCTTCCCACTGGGCGCTAAGCAGCCTCCTAAAGGCCCGTACAAAACCTTGCCATCCCAAGAGTACTTCCCTGAGATATCCCTCACAATGACTCTCACGTCCGAGAGGGCGCCCCCTGGTGACCGGCCAGCCGGTCCTTCTGTGGGCGTCTGAAGGTAGGAGATGAGGGTGCTGTCGTTGAATACGAACAGCTGCAGGTTTGGGCTGCGGAACACCTCGGAGGACAGCTCAGAGCCGTCGGCGTGCGCATTGTCGTGGTTCTCGCTGACAAGGCTGTGGAGCATGGCGGGGCCTCCGTGGAGTGGGTAGTGCCCCAGGTGATTCACCAGGTGCGCCATCACCATCCGGGCAGTCAGGGGGATCAGCTCCACGCTCCTCCTCTTCTTCTCTGCCAGCACAAGGAACAGAGCATAGAGAGACACTGGAGAAGCAGCGTGAAAACTCAGACCACCACCACCAAACTCCAGTTTGTACTTGGAACATTCTGTTTTTTCAGCCTGTGTTTTTTTTTTTTTTCTTTCCCCATATATTTTTTTTTGACACTAGTTCTATTTGAATTTAAAAGCAATTTAAATAAAGTGTTTTAAAAAAACTCAACATATGTGAGGATTTCTTCCTGAAAGGGACTTTTTTTTTATAGGTTTATTTATTCGAAAGACAGAGCTACAGAGAGAGAGACAGACAGACAGATCTTCATCTGCTGGTTCACTTCCCAGAGTGAACATCTGGGGCTGGGGCAGGCTAAAGCCAGAACACTAGAACTCCATCTGGGTCTCCCATGTAGGTGGCAGAGACCTAAGAACTTGGGCCACCTGCCACTGCTTTCCCAGGCACATTAGCAGGGAGCTGATCAGAAGTGGACCAACCGGGGCTGGAATCTATGCTCAATAGGATGCCGGTGTCACAGGCTGCGGCCTAACCTGCTGTATCACAATGCCGATCCTGCAAGGCACATTTAAAAATGTGTACAGTAGATAAGGAAAGAATGAAAGCCCAGATCCTTAAAGAGCTCTGGAGAAGACACAGGGGTAGGCCGGAGAAGTCACCTGGCTCTCTTCAGTGGGGCAGATGTGCAGCTGAGAAGAAAATGAATCAACCCTATGACAGCTTAAATACATTTGAAGCAATTTGCTTAATAATCGTTGGGACAATTCATGTTTGGTTGTTAGGGCATTTTAAATATTTAAGAGAATCTGACAGTATTAATGACTAATGGAAATACTTAGAAGGCTTTAACTAATTTGTAGCTGATGATTAAATACCCAAGAGCAAGTGATTTACAAAACTATGGAAATTATTTTGTACAAAATATAAGGAAATATTGTTTTTATTTTTATACAAAATACATGAAAAGACTCTGACAACAGTATGTATAAGTAGACCTTGCAAAATTAGGTATTCAGGAGAAGCAGATAAACTAAATCCTCATGTATGAGTTGAAATGACTACTTAAGCTTAAGAGTAGAAGTTAGGGAAATTTTAATCTGCCAAATTAATAGAAGTATTATACATTAACCTAAGAAGAGGTAAAAACAAAACCTTTCGTTTTAATAAAAGAAATCACTAGATAACTTAAATAAATTAAGTTTTATAATTTGAGCTTAAAGCTTTAGGAAATAATTGGTTTCTAAACTCCAAACATGAAAAGCAAAATGCTAATTAAAACATAATTGTAAATACGCTTTTTCATACTAATCATCCCTCTTAGACATTAAAAGTCCAATTGCTTTATTTATAACACATCAATGTTATGATGTATAAATCTTACAAAGAAACAACATACTTCAGTCTCAAGCTAATCCTGTGCAATTACTGAGAACGAGACAGTCCTGAGTTTTCTCGGATTTTTAAATTTTTTCCTGTCAATGAACAAGAAATCACCTGCATCCAATCATTCAAAATGAAATTTCATATCAAGAAGCTCATTTTAAGAAGCAAAGAAGGTCATCTACCTCTGTCTCTGAAATTAAACTTTTCTTCCTCGCCTTGAGTAGAAGCTGGTATCATTTCCACACAACTAAGAAATTTAATGTACAAATTTAATGCCAATGCTAAGAAACAGTAATGCCCCAAATAGCAAATGTGAAGCTAGCCAGGGGTTGGCTGAGTTCATATGTAAAACACCTCCTCTGGACGACAGGGCAGAGCAGGCTGTGAAACTCTAATGATAAAGGTCCAATTTGAAAAAGGCCCCAGGCAGAACATAACAATTAGAGAATCAACCTTCCCGTACTTTTACTCACACAGGTTGTCCTTTCAATCTGACATAAATACAGATGCATTTGAGGGACGTGTTTTAAGTCTATAATGGGAAACTAGTCTGGAGTCTTACTTAATCAGATCATAAACCACAACCATGCCCAGTAAACCCCCCAAATATCTCTGGTACTGAAAAGTCAGGAAAAGGCACATTTGTGAAATAATAACTGTTCTTCCTGGGCAGATGCTGGGTGAACCGACTGCCTGCAGATTCCCTGAAACATGAAGAGGAAGTCTGGACCCCATTCATGAAAAACGAGTTCGTGACATCCACAAACTGAAAGAATTGATTCCTAGGATCCTTGCTTGTCTTCATTTGGGGATGAGATACGAAGGTAGCATGTTTAAGCTTCTCACCGTCAGTTCTGAAAGCTCCCCCTATCTTCTCTGTAAGCAGTTAGGTATCTGAGATAAGCAACCTGCACACTAGGAGCAGAGTTAGCAGCCACCTTGGCTGGTTGACTGTGTCTCTTACTTGGGACTTTAGAAGGACACTTCAAAAAGTCCTTGGGAAACAGAATGAAAAGATAAGTTTTTTTGTTGTTTTTAAGAAAATTGAATAAAAGATTCTCAAAAATTTCATAAAAATGCACATAATGAAAGAATTATGCATGTATTTGAAATTTTCTCCACCAAAATAAACTTATCTTTTTTAAAAAAAGATTATTTATTTGAAAGGCAGAAATACAGAAAGACAGAGACAGAAATCTTCCATCTGCTGGTTCACTCCCCAAATGGCAGCAATGGCCAAAGCTGGGCCAATACAAAGTCAGGAGTCAGGAGCTTCTTCCGGGTCTCCCACATGGGTACAGGGGCTCAAGGACTTGGTCACATTCTGCTGCTTTCCCAGGCCATTAACAGGGAGCTGGACTGGAAGTGGAGTAGCAGGGACTCAAATCAGCGCTCACATGGGATGCCGGTGTTGCAGGAGGAGGTTTAACTTTCTATACCACAGCAGCAGGCCCTAAACGTATCTTTTGATTCCATTTTCCATAATCTTTTTGAAGTATCCATCTGAAAGTAGTGATTATATCAAATAGTAACTAATGGTCTAAAAGAGGATCATAAAAATAGATTAAAGTATAATGCTGCTTATCAGAAACTACCTGGCTATAAATAGCTTTGTTATGAATGATAAACTATGACACTGAGTGAAAAAAAAATCCTTAAATATACACATTTTGTAAAAGGTCTTTATTTTTCCTTTTCACGCTTAACAAAATGTATCCACTTATCAAGAGTGTGCATGCTGGGGCCAGTATTATGGCACAGTTGGTTAAAGTCCCAGTGTGCAGGGCCAGCATCCCATATGTGCCCAAGTCCTGGCTGCTCCACTTCCCATCCAGCTCTCTGCTATGGCTTAGGAAAGCAGTAGAAAATGGCCCAAGTCCTTGGGCCCCTGCACCCATGTGGGAGACTTGGAAGAAGCTCCTGGTTCCTGGCTTCGGATCGGTGCAGCTCCGACCATTGTGGCCATCTGGGGAGTGAACCAGTGGATGGAAGACCTTTCTCTTCTGTCTGCCTCTGTTTCTAAGTCTGCCTTTCAAATAAATTAAAAAAAAAAAGTGCACATGCTAATGCACTTATAAACTTCTTGCTTTTTAACTTGCTAGTAGGTTTAGGAAATTGACATTGATCCATTACCTTTACTTGGTGTTCAATAGTCTACATTTTTATGTGTGTGTGTTTGGTTCTATGCAATTTCATCATGTGCGTGGATTGCACACCCCCATTCTGACTCACACTCCAGTGCCCATATATGGTCTCTTATCATTTAGGGAAGAGCGGTAGTTAAGGAGGAAACAGCCTCCTAGTCCTGAGAATCCCCAAGGAGTCTAAAACGGACTCTGCCCGTGAGCAGAGAGAGCCATTTCCAAACTGCGGCAAATCTGCCATCTCTTCTCAGGATGCCCTCCTAGTCTGGGACACTCTGCAGGCTCCTTTCGAAGCCTGACCATCCTGCTAAGTCTGGCTTCGGTCCTTCCTCGTGGGAAGGCCCCCATGGTGCTATCTATCCAGATGTCTTTCTGGATTCACCTTGTCTCTCGCGGTAGACACAAAGCTTCGTGTGCACAGAAAACGAGTTGTTTCTCTGAGTCCTACGGGTTTGAGATATACGGGTCCCTCAAAAACTCAAAACCTATGTGAACAACTAAGATGGGAAAAGAGGAGAGAGGAGGAAAAAGAGAAAAGAAGAAGAAAGAAGGAAGAAGAAGAGGAAGAGGAGGAGGAAGAAGAAACCAGAAAGGCAGAATTTTGCCACCACAAGAGCTCTAGAAACGAGGACTTCAACTTGAACAACTAGATTTTTCAAAAAGCAGCACAGCAAGATGAGGCAAAAGACTGCAGGCTTTTCCCTTGCTGCCCATGAGAGTCTGTCTGGAAGGGTACTCACCCTCCTCCACGGTCAGCAGGCTCCCCAGCTCTACTGATGAATGGTACAGGACGGGCTCCGAACTCTTCACGCCGGCCAGCGGCAGGAAGGGGTCATAGTCAGTGGAGGACAGGTCGGCCAGCGTCAGTGTATAGTGACTCTGCTGGGTGTATGTGCTTGAGCCACAGACACAGCAGTGCAGAACCTGTGGGAAGCAGGAGGGAATGGCACAGGCAGCCGCCGCAGCACCCAGGAGCTAGGACCCTGCTTGGCAGCACTGAAAAACATCGAGTCCTTTCCATTCTGAAGAACCTTCTTGCTATTAGTGAGCGAGTCTACTTTGCTTCTTTCACATCAATGCCTATCAATATATTCCCAAGATTATAAATTTTATTTTTAAAAATTTATTTTATTTGAAAGGCAGAGAGAGAGAGAGAGTACGCACTTCCATATGCTGGTTCATTCCCAAAATGCCCATGACAGCTGCAGGCCAAAGCCAGGAACCAAGATCTCCACCCAGGTCTCCCACATGGGTGGCAGGGGCCCAACTACTTGAGCCATCACCTGCTGCCTCCCCGGGTGAGTATTCACAGGAAGCTGGAGTTGGGGCAGAGCTGGGACCCAAATCCAGGCATTCTGATATGGGATGCAGGTGCTATAACTGGTGTCTTTTAAGTTTAACTTATTTATTTCTCTGACAGCAGAGTCACAGAGATTCTCCATGCCTCAGATCACTCCCCCAATGCCTACAACAGCTGGGGCCGAGCCAGGCTGAATCCACAAGCCAGAAATTCCACCTGGGTCTCCCAAGTGGGCAGCAGGAATCTAAGTACTTAAGCCATGGTCTGCTGCCTCCCAGGTGCATCAGCAGGAAGCTGGACTGGAAATGGAGGAGGGATGGAGGGACTTGATGCCAGGCACTCCGATGCAGAATGCAGGTGCCTCAAGTGGTGGCTTAATTTGCTGTACCACAAAACCCACCCCCAAATGGTGTCTCAACCACCATGCCACACACCCACCCCAAGATCAGAAATTTTAAAAATCCATTTTTATGAAAAATTAAGGTAATACTTTAAAACCTAAAGAAACATTTTTGGGTTAAATATAATTATGTATATTCACTTCCAGTTGTCGTTTGCCCACACAGCAAGAGGCCTTGTGGTCAGTTACCCGTTGTACATGGAAAGAGTGTACTTTGCAGGGGGCAGGCACCTGCATAAGTCCTCTTCCAAGCAAGAAAACTGTGCAGGAAAATCCTGATGGCATGCTCATTATTGTAAACAAATGATCTTTGTTGGTGAGAGAATTAGTTTCCTTAGTCAAAATGCAATAAATGCAAGAAACACCATGTGCTACTACTACATTCCTACGAGAGTACCAGCGTCAGCCAAACTGTAGAGGGGATGCGGTTCTTAGATAACTGCTGGTGACACTGTGAATGAGTGTAACCACCCTGGAAAATTATTTGGTCTTCACCATGTGTATTCCAGCAACTCACTCTTAGGGACACATTTAATAGAAATGTATACATATGTGGACCAAAAGCTGCACTTGAATGTCACAGAATTTTTTTTATGGTCCCAGACTCTACATCACAGTCTATCAACCTTAGAATTGATACATAAATGGTGGTTTATTGTCGCTGTGTAACACTAAAATCAGACTGAAAAACCTACAATCATTCGCAACAGTATGAATGAACTGTTCAAAAATAATGCTGAGGTAAAGACGTCAGACTCAACAGAAAATACTGTACGATCCCCAGTCCCCCTTTTTTAATTTCAAAAGCAGGCCTGTCTGTTTCTGAATTAATCTATGCCATTGGGATAGTGGCTACTCCTGAGCAGGTGCATGGGGTCAGTCACACGGGGAGGAGGCACCTGCTGCTTCCAGGAGGCCTCCAGGATGCTGGGCATGTTCTGTTCCCAGCACGAGGCTCTGAGTGTACAGCTGTGCCCACTGACTGTCACTTAGAATTGATACAGTTTTCTGGAAGCATATTATATGTCAGCATTAAAATAAACATACGATATAGAGCTGTTAAATAGGTGGGTCATGTTTACTCTGAGGTGACTTTTACACTGGTAAAGCAATTTTAAGAGAAATCTTTTAAGGAAATAAATAAGGCAGAAAAAGATGACTATGAATGATTCTGGCCATTGCAGCTGGCACAAGCCAAGCATCACATAGGTGTCTAAGACACAAAGGTAACAGAAGTTCTTAACTAACAATCCTAAGACAGTTATCAAAATCTTTGACCACTGAAGAAACCTAAAATACACAAAACTTTTTTGTAGAATTTTAACGACAGCGAGATGGTTTCTTTCTTTCTTTTTTTTTTTTTTTGTTAAAGAACCATTTAATACATTTTAAAGTATGGTAACAAAGTAATCTGCTAATGACATAGGGCCTTTTTTATTATTAAATGTTTATTGCTAAAAAATAAACAATGGAATTTATCCTGATCAATGGACATGAAAATGCTACCCAATGAACAAGACTTTTGAGACCGTTAAAGGCAATTACAGGGGGTACTGAAACCAGTCATGGCAAATGCCATGTCTGATCACTCAGGGTGAGAGACGAAACTGGGATGAGGGGAGACAGGAGGTGGAACTGGAATACTCTGGGTACTATAATAATCATGCGGCTAAGCACTTCACGTGATGTATTTCCTCGACTGGTTTCTTTTTTAAGGCAATGGAATTACTAGGACCTTCACACTTTTTCTTCCTTTGACAAACGATTTGGTCAAACTAATGCTATAGGCCGGCGCCGCAGCTCACTAGGCTAATCCTCCACCTAGCGGCACCGGCACACCGGGTTCTAGTCCCGGTTGGGGCACCGGATTCTGTCCCGGTTGCCCCTCTTCCAGGCCAGCTCTCCGCTATGGCCAGGGAGTGCAGTGGAGGATGGCCCAAGTGCTTGGGCCCTGCACCCCATGGGAGACCAGGAGAAGCACCTGGCTCCTGCCTTCGGATCATCGAGGTGCACCAGCCACAGCGCGCCGGCCGCAGTGGCCATTGGAGGGTGAACCAACAGCAAAAGGAAGACCTTTCTCTCTGTCTCTCTCTCCTTGTCCACTGATTTCAGTGGCGATGAATGTAAGAATCAGAAAGCTTAAATGATTTATCAGCCAAGAGGTAACAGGTGGTAGAGGATTTAAAACAAGACCTGAATGGAAAAAAAAATAAAATAAAAAATAAAACTAATGCTATAAATGTTTCTTTCATATAAACTGTTCTTTCTTAAATTAAGCAGACACCGACCACATTCAACAAAAACTGGGGGGGGGATTCTGACCAGACTGTGACTGTTTAAAGGTTAAAGCTGACAGTGACCACTGCTTCTCCAGGTTAATTCTTTTCAAAGGGCTCGGGGAAGGCATTCTGGGGTTCTCCGCCCTGTCAGGCTGCACGCCACGCCCCGAGGCCCAGGGGGAGACTCACCCTGTAGATATAATCCAGCAGCGGGGCTCGAGGCGTCTGCTGCTCCTCCAGGGCCGCCGTGGACACCGGGTGGAGGAGGGCACTCACCGGCAAGGTCATGCACCAGTCCAGGAGGCAGAGGAGCAAGGACACGATAAACTGGAAGGAGAAACACGTCCTCTGAGGCACCCTTTTCCATCCCACTGTGTGCAGCCCTGAACAAGAGAATCACCTCTGCGTGCAGTAACCGTCCAGGAGACACAGGACGGGCGGGCAGGCAGGCAGGTGAGTAACCGGTGGTCCACAGGGCAGACCGTGGAGGGCCGCAGGGAAGCATGCCACAAAGGTACCGCTAGGTGATATTATTGACCATTCAATCTTACAGTTTTAGATAGGAAACCAGCTCTAGAGGAATCGTGACGTAGGTGCTACCTACCTTCTTGTCTGTTTCCACTGAGGAGTATTCTGCGCTGGGTAAGAGAAAAGCAATCGTGGCCACAAGGATCTGCATAAAAGAGAAATCCCCAAACAGGGCAGGGTCATCTTCTGGACACACCGTTTGCTGTGAGTACCCAGGCGGCTGCCAAAGCTTGCCAGCAAGGTGACAGAGCTGCCAGCGCTGTGCGTGTAACCTCGGGGCCACACCTGATTTGTATTCCACTCTGCCGGCGGTGGCAACTGGAGCCCCAGGAAAACCTCTCTGTAGTCACACAATTTCTACCATCAGTCACAACTCACATTTCTCACAGTAAAGAAAATACATTCAAAAATGATCATGAAAACATTCCCAATTAATTCTCCTATAGATCTCCTCGGGTCTTTCTCTGCTGTCTGGGCCTAAGGGCAGGAGCCCTTTTGTCTGCAAAAGCACCCCCTATTGAGATCAGCCATTAAAGCACCCATCCCCTGAAACTCCATGTCTACACCTTGCAGCATCTTATATCCCTGGTGGACACGGTCACCGAAGGTCACAAATCACGCGTGACTTTTGATGCATATCTAACAGTGAAATCTGTCTAGGGCTGAGAGAAAATAAATTAGTGTTGCTTCTCTCTCCCTATAATACTGCGTGGGGACAAATCAAATTCCCGCAAGGAGTTACACTGGATGTGTCAAGAATAGAGCGGTTTCAAAAAGTGCAGCTCCAAAAACTGGCAGAAACGGACCTGCCTCACACCAGATGTCTCCGGGAGCGAGGGCACCTGCTCATGGGTACGGCACAGCACCCTTGAGGGTGACCGGGCTCCAGGATGTTATTTTGAGGTAGTTCTTCCTGTCCCTTCTGCCCCTGTCTCCCACCAGCTACCCGATGGATGTTACTGGAGTGGTAATCTCATTACAGCCAGACATCATGCTGGGCAGAAAGTTGTGTCCAGAGCTCCAGTCCGGGAGAGACAAAGCCCTGCTCTGCCCTGCACGGAGGACATCATAACCAGCTCCCTACTCTCGGCTGGCACCACCTAGACCACCCTCGATGAATGAAGCCCCTCCTACCAAAGGCCTCTGCTGCGGGCACGTCTGCCTTTCAAACTCCCTGCGGGTCAGCCTCAGTCCCGGATTCTTCCTGGGCTGCTCGGAATCATGCCTGAGAAGGACTGGTTCAACATACCCTTACAACACGTGCCCCGTGCTCATGGAATGAGAGCCAGATTTCTGATAATTATTTGAGTATGTATAATTAATTAAATATCAGCTACAACAAAAGGGACATCATGCTTATGTCTTAGCACTAGAGGGAAAAAAAACAAAAACGAAAACCAAAAACCAACTTACTTCTGCCATTTTCCGAGGCAGAGAGGTTTCAAACACCTGGAGTTTTTCCCAGTAGGAAACCAGCAACTGAAGAACGTCGCAAGCTACCTGAGCCACAATTTTGTTAGGAAACTGGAAAACAAAATCGCACAGCAGATACGTAACATGACAGGTGCATCAGCAAGGAAAAACAAGACTGCAATTTCTTCCCAGTTCCATGCAGACAGTAATACAGAGATTTTGCATTACGCCAGTGCAAACTATTTCCTAGTATCAGAAAGTTCACCATCACGGCGCATGCTACACCTGCCTCCCAGCGAGCCTAGCTGTGTTAATGCACATAACATTCTATAGAAACAAGCAGCTGCTGTTCAGTCATCTAGAAATTAAAACCATAATTTGAAATTCCTTATTTAGTTCACATAGATTATATTTTTGACAGTAACAGGAAATTAAAATGTGGTACACTATTGAGCATCCTACATGTTGAGCCTGTTAGAATTCTACTCATTCACTCATGGACAAAATTTCCCTGACAGCTCTGCAAGGTAGATGCTATCTTCATTTTATATATGGAGAAACAGGGATTAGTCAAATGGCTTTCTATCCAGGGCAATGAAACTTGACCCACACGGACAACTTATGAAAAAATGTATAAAATTAGAGCTTGTGAGAGCATAGCTCATGGATTACAATTTATTCAATTACTCTGGGTATGTTTCCTGAGGCTGCTGTGTGTCTCAGGTTACCAAAGAGGTCTTCTAGATGTTTCCATTTCTTTCGAGATGGCAAGCAAAGGGATTGGCACCCGCAAAGCCTCCTTTGTTTCTGCTGTGGGTTCATGAGAGGGATGAGGGCACGTGTGCCTCTCTCCCTGGTCAGAACCTGGTGGACAATGCCACCCAGACCTAACCGCGAGGAGAAAGATGCTTCCCTGAGCCCATGCTGCTGGTCTAGGGAACCTCACTCCAAGTCTCCCGCAGCAGACACCCTCTGACGTGTGTGCCCCACAAATAACACCAGCAGCTCAGCATTGAAGGCATTGGTGACAGACGCGCAGCACATGGAGGAGCTTAAGGGAAACACAATGAATTTGAACTCTACCATGCAAGCAGTTATTACCTACCCCCACCTGATAGGAACTCACTCAGGAAGCCCAGGGTGGGAGCACCTGCACTCAGGGGCTCTTCACAGCCATCCCCGGTCATCCAGACCCCAGCTGCTCTGACCTTCACTGCCCTCTTCCCGCCCTTCAAACACCCGTGCTTGTTTTCGCTGTTGGACCCTTGCACCTGCTCCTGGCTTCGCTGGGACACTCATTACCCACCAGGTTTCCATATCATTGGCCCTGCTACATCTTTCAGACCATGGCATGAAGTATCCCCTCCAGAGGCCACCACATCCAATCCGAGCAGTGGCAGTCCACTCTCCCAGCTCTTCAGCTTCAGCCCACTCCTTGTTTCTATTTCCATTGTGGCACCGAAGCCAATTGGAGTCCATCTTTCGTGCTTTGCTGTTTTTCCTGCAATCTTGTTTACCACTGCACCTGATGTCTAACACAGCCCCCTGAAGCATGTGCATGGAGTGCTGAAGGTGCAGATGGGGTACTGAGGGAGCCCTGGGTGTGCTCCTGCTGCACTGCAGGGGGTAAGACACGGTGTAGAAAGATAAGACTGCTACAGCTGGAAACAGACAAGAGGAAAATGACTAGGACTAGTGCAGACAAGACCAAAGGGCTTTGGAAAGCGAGGGGTGGGGTGTGGGTGCGGGGAGACAGGCAGAGAGAAGCAGCCAGGAAGTGGGGCAAAGCAAGCTGCACCTGGGAGAACGCAGATGAAGAGCCAGGGTTTCTGTGCAGGCAGTGGGCAGCAGGGCACAGGCAGAGGCAGCAAAGGTTGGCTGGACAGAGCGGGCTGCAAGTTGGGTGGTATTACCAACACAGCCTGGCTGCAGTGGGAGATGGTGGGCATGAAAGACGTCATTCACTCACTCACCCAGAACATAACCACAAAGTACTGACCCTGTGCCAGCCCTAAATTATAAGAGAATTCCAGGCACAAGACACACAGGGCAATAATGTCCCTACTTTTAAGGAACTGCCAGTCTCACAGCACATCCCCCAGGGGTGCTCTAGCCTGTGGCTTGGGCTGGTTAGCTATACACAAGGACAGGTATCGCTAACAGTGGAGGAAGGGTGGGACTGTGGGAGCCTGTCTGGGGCTGGCAACGAGCAGAGGGAGAGGTGTGAGGAATGGGCTCAGGGAGGGCGCGGGAGGGAGCACAGCCAGCAGGCCTGGAGGACTGGACGCAGTGTCGGGGTAAGGAAGAAGAGCAGTCAGCGATGGGAAGAGGAGGTGGGAGAAGGAGCAGCAGGTGGGGATGAGGGCAGCTGGCTCCGGGAGGCGGGGCTAGCCAGCACGCCACGCTCTTGGCTGTCACCAGCGTACTGCACATGGCCCACATCCTCCACTGATAGGAAGTTAAAAGTCTGTGAGCAGGGCTGTGGCTTAGAACGCTGCTGCCGCCACCCTCGGGCTGCCTGGCTGCTACCCCACCAGACACAGACAACCTGGCTGGTGGAATGCTCTGGGTGCTGCCTGGCTGCAGGCGTGTTTTCGCCAGGCCCCTCCCACATCCAGGGCATACCAAGGTCATGATCACAAGCCAGGAGCTTGTGCTTTAGGAGCTGTGCGCAGCCCTCAACACAGGAAGTCCTCACAGGGCTCAGGCTTTCTGGCGTCTGCACAGCGCGCCGGGTCCTCTTCCTCCCTGGCTCCCCTTCTGGCAGAGCCCCAGCCCCTGAAACCCTTCTTCACAAAGTGGTTGCTGCTCTCTTGTTCCTTGGCGAACCTCAGGCCCTTCTAGCCCTCCGTTCTTCTTAGATTTCCATGCTGTGTCCAAGGAGTAAAATAATGCAGCTGGCACTATTTAAACCAGTGATATTCCTGCCATTAATACAACAGCTAAGGGGGAGACCGACGTGGGTACACCCCAGCTGCATAGCTGCAGCCGGTCCCCTGGGCCTCTGCACCTCCTTCTCTTCACCTCTCTAGTCTTCAATGGGGACAGCAGCAGCACCTCGGCCGAGTGGCAAGGGCCCCGTGGGGCAGTGCACCCACTGAGCCAGACAGCACCTGACAGGGCTCAACCACGGCAACTGTAAATTTCAGAAAATTTGCAGAAACACAAAGAATAAAATCTGTTTGTCTACAATCCCTCTACTCAGTAATTTCCAATGCTTTTCTATACCACATTCGTTTTAAGACACTACTGGGTTAATAGTTTTTCCAGGTAACGGGAAGAGACGGGTGAGCCACCTTACAGTAAATACAAATGTCTAGAATTAAGAAACATGAAAATTGAAAAAGATCTTAGGACTGAAAAAATAAGTCATTTAAAAATTAATGGTGGGCTGGTACAGTGGCGCAGTGGGCTAAGCCTTCGCCTGAGGAGCCAGGTTCCTATGGGTGCCAGTTCAAGTCCTCCTCTTCTGATCCAGCTCTCTGCTACGGCCTGGGGCAGCAGTAGAAGATGGCCCAAGTGCTTGGGCCCCTGCACCCATGTGGGAGACCCAGAAGAAGCTTCTGGCTCCTGGCTTTGGATCAGCTCAGCTCAGCTCCAGCTGTTGTGGCCATCTGGGGGTGAACCAGTGGATGGAGGACACCTCTCCCTCTCCCCCTTCTCTGCCTGTAACTTTACCTTTCAAATAAATAAATAAAATCTTTAAATAAAATAAAAATTAATTGGGGGCAGGAGGGCAGCGTTGTGGCATAGTGGGCTAACTGGCCACCTGTGAGGCTGGCATCCCGTATGGGTGTCAGTTTGAGTTCCGGCTGCTCCGCTTTTGACCCAACTTCCTGATAGTGCGCCAGAGAACGCAGCAGAAGATGGCCCATGTGCTTGGGCCCCTGCGTCCATGTGGGAGACCTGGATGGAGTTCAGGTTGTGGCTTTGGCCTGGCCCAGCCCTGGCTATTGCGGACATTTGGGAGGTGAACCAGCCGATGGAGGATCTTTCCCTTTCTCTCTCTTGGGCTCCCAGGTGGCTCATTTTCCTCATATTGAATTGGAGATGGCAGTGACACTTCAGCTCATAGGGTTTCCCAAAGGAGTAAAGGTGCTGACAAAGGTCAGGGGTCAGCACCTGACTGGGGTCAGAGGGAATATTCTTATATGGTTCGATAATTTTTCAATTCCTTAACAGAGGTAGCACCACAATGACTTTTCCAGGTCCCGTGAGTTACAAACCATAACTGGGATGCTCCTGAGCCTGCCTCAAGTGTTGTGGAGGAGGGGTGGGGGAGCACAGCTGATAGAGGGGGATGATCAGAGTGTATGCTTGGGGAACTAGAGGCACTGAGTTCCGTCAGGCGATGCCGGATGCCAAGCCTAGGGCAGGGGCACTACTGACTGGCTATGCCATGAGCTGCAGCCAACAGGGCACAGAGGTGGCACGGAGGCTGTCACTGGCCTGGCGATGACTGACCCACGTGCTAACTGGAGCTGCCATGACTGCTGCAGCTGCACACGGCAGGCAGCCAAGGAAGGCGACCAGAAGGATACTGGTGTCCCATGGATGGCTCGGGGTTTGAACTGCAGCTTGGCCAGGTGCTCACTCCAGAGCCTTGAACCAGTCTCCCGCACTTCTGCCTCTCCACTGGGAAAATGGGGACACACTCATCTCACAACTGAGAACTTCCACCAGACCCTCGGCGCTGTGCTGGCGGTTCCAGAGGACTAAGAATGGCAATGCTAATTATTACCACTGTGTTAGAGCAGAAGCCAGGAAAGAACCGTGCAGAAGCTGAGTTCTGGTTTTTGGGAACAGCTGAAGGGCACACACAGAAGTTCAATTATAGCATCAGTGCTGGTCCCATTATTTGTATCTGTGTGGGCTGGGGCTTGTGACTTACTTTCTCTGTGTCTTGATTATCTCAGGTATAAAACAAGGATTGTAATCTGCACCTTGCAGAGCTGTCGGTGAGGTTAATGAAAGTGTTTAGAGAGCTTCCCATCATTCTGGCCCTGTGTGAGTGCTCACTGTGTGACAGCTCTTCTTTTCATTAACAAAGAAGGACATCATAAGTGCCCGAGGTTCAGCTGGATGGTGAGCGCCACGGGCTCCTAACTGGAAACTGTGGAGGCCTCTCTCAGAGTTGCGGAAGAGGCCAGGGCACAAAAATCTCACTTTCTTGCTACCTGCTCTCTCCACCCCTCCCCAACACGGGACAAAGTGTCCTCCGTGCCACAGGAGCTGTCCAGCGCCAGAACACCATTCGGCCACTGGGCTTGGTCCGGGAACACACAGGGCAGGCTACTGACAGACAGCCTGGTGGCTGCTACCTCGGTGGCATCTGTTGGGAACCTCAGCATGCCTGCTCACTTGGCCCTCAGAAGAGGAGTTTGGAATCACAACCAGGATGAGGCTAACTCCAGTGAATGCTGGTTGAATGCCCGCGATCTAGCTTAGTGTCAGGGAAACATCACAAGTTGGGAATACCTTCAAAGTCACACCTATCACGTTGATGGCGTCTTTCACCTGAGGATGGCTTGTACACTGTGCAAGCTCTTCACATATCCACACGCCCAGCGAGCAGATGGCAACACACCTTTTTAGAAAGCAGGAAACAAGAAAAGCTCTCATGAAACTCAGTATGTTCTTCATGCAATTTAAAAATAATAAAATAGTCTAAACATGTTTATGCAGAATAGCAAAAATTATTTATAATTAGCAGAATGTCTTCTTGAGTGAAAAGATCAGAAGCCCTCACTAAGGCCCGTTTTCAGAACAATACAAATATCAGTCATGGTTCATACTTAAATATTTAATGAAACAAATGACATATTTCCTGTTAATTGTCACGGTCCACACATCATTTGTTTTTGCTGAAACTAATTTGTTACTACATTTTATTGTTTCAATATACTTTTGAGGAACAATCAAAAACATGGACTACAGAATCTGTAACTGTTTTCCTTACAATAACAGATATAATATGGACTACAAACATAAGAGAAACCCTGCATTTTATTGTAAAGCATATTTGAATACAACTTTCAGAAATAATTTCATTTCTTTTAAACAATGTGCTAGAACAAAATACTCTTCAAAGAAAACTCCTCAGACTATAAGTATTTCTATCCAATTCTTAACTTCACAGAAATGTGGTTTTTCTACACTGAAGAAAACAAGGGGGGTGGGGGAACTGCCAAGAGTTTCTGATGTTTTTAAATGGGGTAGGTGTTGAAAAAAAGGGACACCAAGGATTGTCCCCAGGTGTCTGGGTTGACAACCTGGGGAGATGGGGGTGCCGCTTGCTGAGATGAAGTCTGTGGCACGGCCAGGTGCTGGGGGGGCAGAGGGGATTCCACATTTCAGTTATGGCTGTGGTAAGCTTGCTAACAGATCCAAGTTGAGATGGCAAGTAGGCAGTTTAATATGGGAGTCTGAATACATATAAGGTAAGAAAACCGGAGATCATTAGCAAGATGATGGTTTCTAAAGATTGGGGAGGAATGGCTGAGGGCATCCAGAAAGTCAAGGGGAGAGCACAGGCCTACACCCCGAGGCGCTCTGCTGTTCAGAGGTGAGGCGGAGGAGGAGCGGTCAGCAAAGGACAAAGGCAGGACCGGCTGCAGTGAGGTGCAGGCAAACTCAGAGCGCGGGCTACGGAAAGGCTGCTGTGCAGCAGGGCGCTAAGGAGAGGCCAGTTTCAGAGCTGGGACGGTAAGGACGCGTCTGAAAACTGATGGGATGATCTGAAAGAATTAAAGGGGGCCTCTGATTTCTTAAGAAAAAATACAGGAAATAATAAAGGTGGGGGAAAATCCTCCCTTCCCCTCACCCAAATAAAAGAGAGAAAAAGGGGGGGAGGAAGTAAAGATAAACGAAAGAAGCACTGAGAAGAAACAGCTAAAAACAAAGTATAAGTGAAGAGGGAAGAGGGGTGGGCACTGTGGCACAGCAGCCACTTGGGACAGCCGCATCTGACATCGAGGGCTGCTCCAGCCCCGGCTCCTCCACTTCTGGTCCAGCTCCCTGCTAATGCACCCAGCGAGCATCAGATGACGGCCCAAGGACTTGGGTTCCTCAGCCAGGTCCAGCCCCAGCTGTTACAGGCAGTGAACCAGTGGATGGAAGACCTCTCCCTCTCTCTCTCCCCTTCCCTCCCTCCCTCCCTCCGACTCTCTGTCACTCTGCCTTTCACATAAATAAATAAATCTCTAAAACAAGATGAAAGAACTCATCCAGAGATCAGTAATTATAACAAATGTAAGTGAATGAAGGCTTCAATTAAAAGATCACACAACAAAAACCAACAAAATTCAAGTAGACAGTTTTTGCAAACAGAACTAAGAAGGGGAATATAAAAAGTTAATTCAAAAGAATGGAAAGTGTGATAAAAAGTTAAATCAGTATCACAAAGTAGTCTTTATAAGATTAAAAACTCATTCTTAGAAATAAAGGTTACTACATAAATATAAGATCTGACTCATTATAGCAATAGGACAATTTTAAACTTCTGTGCAACTATTAATATAGCCTAAAACATTTAAAGCAAAATTTGATATATTTATAATGGGAAATAGATAATACATCATAATAGGGGATATTTTAACATCTCTTTCAGTAAATGATGAAGCTGATGAGAAGAGTCATAAAGACTAAGAATATTTGAAGCATGTGATTTTAAAAATTTCATGATAGACATGCCTGCAATTTTATACCCAACAATTAAAGAATAGTGTATACATTATTTTCAAGCACATATGTAAAACATTTGTAAAGACTGACTAAATATTGGGCCATCAAGCATATCTTAATAATTTCAAAGACTGTTACCAGATAACATTTTGATCCACAATGCAATTATTTAAGTCATCAGAAGTAAAAAGATATAGCCATATGTTTGGAAATTAAGAAACATGTTTCTAAATAACTCATGATGCAAAGGAGAAATCAGAATGGAAACTAAATTATTTGGAATAGAAAATAATTAAATATTAACACATAGAATTCAAATAAAGTAGCACCTGGAAATAAACATGTAACCTGAACTGTTTATATTTGTAAAGGAGAAATGCTGATAATCAACATTCTAAGTTTGCAACATAACAAATAGAGGCCAGTGCTGTGGTAAAGCCACCACCTGTGAAGCTGGCATCCCATATGTGTGCCGGTTCTAGTCCTGGCTGCTCCACTTCCGATCCAGCTCTCTGCTATGGCCTGGGAAAGCAGTAGAAGATGGCCCAAATCCTTGGGCTCCTGCACCCACATGGGAGACCCAGAAGAAGCTCCTGGCGCCTGGCTCCGGACCAGCACAGCTCCAGCCATTGCGGCCAATTGGGGAGTGAACCAGCGGATGGAAGACCTCTCTCTCTCTCTCACCCCCTCCCTCTCTCCCTCTCCTTCTCTCTCTGTGTAACTCTTTCAAATAAATAAATAAATCTTAAAAAAAAAATAAAAAGTCAGAGAATATACAGGGAGTGTCAGGAATTAAAAACTTGAGATAATGATAGGACTGAAAGAGGGAAAAAAAAAAAAGGACAAAAGAGAGAACTTGGATACCAATGGATCTCAAAACTTAGATGAAATGGGCAAATTCCTAAAACATTTAGTGTATCAAAACTTCCAAAAAAATCCAAAAACCAATGAGATCCTTAATATTCCTAAACTCACTGAAGATAATGAGTCCGTGGTTTAACGTTCTCACCAAGAAAGACACCAGATGTAGACAATTTTACTATCAAGGTCCACTAAATACACAAGAGGATTAATTGTGTAAGAACCTTCCCGACTCGAGAGAATGGACAGCGCTTGACTTGTTCTGTGAAACTTTGTGACTTAAACCAGACCCTACATGGGCAGGATGCCGGAGGGAAAGTACAGATGAGGAAGATAAACACAACTTTCCTGAACAAAACAGTTACCAACTCCAACCCAGGAACCTATCAGCTAAGCTGGTTTTTTAAAAATTTTTATTTATTTATTTTTTTTATTATTTGACAGGTAGAGTTATAGACAGAGAGAGAGACAGAGAGAGAGGTCTTCCTTCCGTTGGTTCACTCACCAAATGGCTGCTACGGCCAGTGCTGTGCCGATCCAAAGCCAGGAGCCAGGTGCTTTTCTCCTGGTCTCCCATGCGGGTGCAGGGCCCAAGCACTTGGGCCATCCTCCACTGCCCTCCCGGGCCACAGCAGAGAGCTGGCCTGGAAGAGGAGCAACTGGGAATAGTACCCGGCGCCCATATGGGATGCCGGCGCCACAGGCAGAGGATTAACCAAGTAAGCCATGGCGCCAGCCCGTTAGCTAAGCTGGGTTTTTTTCCCAAGTGGCAAGATCAGTTCAGTATTATCAGACTGACAATGTGTCTATAGCTTCTGGTAATGAAGACTAGAAAATCTAGATTCAGCCATCCACTGAAGAGGTCGGACAAAGTACAAAAGAAAAAGAACTTAAAATTCATCAAAGGGCTAACGAGACAGTGATAAGCCATGGAATGAGAGAGGGAGCAGGGCATCAGCCAACTCCCAGGAGGCAGCAAGAGGTGGAATGGGGTGACCATGGGGTAGGAAGCTGTGTCAGAGACAGCTGTTCCCCTCCAGCAGCATCCCCCTGGGGGAAGTAGTAACCTGCCATTGTATAGGTAGCCCAGAGAACTTCATCAGCCTGGACTACTAGCAACCCCAGGCACCTGGCAGAGGCAACCAAGATATTTCCGGACGTTGCCAAATATCTCCAGGGGATCACCAATTAAAATCACTACCCTGGGGACCCGCATTGGGGCACAGGCTGGGCTATCACCGGTTGACACCAGCGTGTCACCACCGTGATCCTTAAGGTCACAGGTTCAAGTCCTGGCTGTGCCATTTGTGTTCCTGTTCCTAGCTAATGTGCCTGGGAAAGCAGTGGAGGATAACCCAAGTGCTTGGGCTCCTGCCACCCACATGGGAGACCTGGGTAGAGTTCCAGGGTCCTGGCTTTGGCCTGGTCTAGCTCTGGCTGTTTCAACCATTTAATTTAGGGAGTGAACCAGCAGATGTACAATACCCGTCTCTCTCTCTCTCTCTTTCTCTCTCTCTCTAACTCTGTCTTTCAAATAAATAAATAAATCTAAAAAATTTCAAAGTTCATAATGATCATATATGTATAGAGTTTTTAAAAAGATTTATTTATTTATTTGAAAGGCACAGTCACAGAGAAGCAGAGGCAAAGAGAGAGAAAAGTGTTCCATCTGCTGGTTGACTCCCCAGGTGACCACAACGGCCAGAGCTGGGCCGATCTGAAGCCAGGAGCCAGGAGCTTCTTCTGGGTCTCCCACGTGGGTTCAGGGGCCCAAAGACTTGGGTCATCCTCCACTGCTTTCCCAGGCACATTAGCTGGGAAATGCAACACAAATGGCACAACCAGGACTTGAAACTGTGACCTTAAGGGATGTTGGTGTCTACTGCTTTCCCAGGATATAGCAGAGAGCTGGGTCAGAAGTGGAGTAGCTGGGACTCGAACTGGCACTCACACGGGATGCTGGCACTGCAGGCGGCAGCTTTACCTGCTACACCACAGTGCCAGCCCCTAAATTTTGGATTTATTCTTCTATTTTCTTTCTTCTTGAAAATATCAAAGGATACTTTTTTTTTAAACTTTGCTTTTCTGACACAGGATAATCCTTTGTATCTTAATATTTTCACTTCGTTGTTTTAGATAATCAAGTATCGAATTCCTGACATAATTCTTACTATACTTTTTTGCATAAGAAAAAGCAATGTGAAAGAATACATGTTTTTTAATATTAACTTTTACACATCAATGTGTACCTTAAAATTCTGAAATAATTTACCTCTTATTCAACATTTACCTTGCACATTCATTTGGTTCCTCTGTGGCATTCTTCAGTAAAATATTTATGAGGTAATGCTAAAAACACAAAATTAAGTAAAATAAAAACTCAGTGTCAAGAGCTGGTTTTCCGCATGTTCTGGCCGTGTTCAGGCAGCCAGGAGCTGCTGGAGGACCACGGGGCTCAGGGGTGTCCTGCACCAGGGAGAACCTGGGGACAGGGAGTGCTGGGCTCGGGCAGAGTGTGATGGAGCTCTCTGCAGGGGCCCCCGGCGGTCCACTCAGCCTGGAGGACATGACAAAAACTTGGCAAAGCAAATGAGACTTCCAGGTAGGAAAATCTCAGGTTTCTTTTACTTTAATAGGATCACATATTATACACTGGATTATATATTGTAATCGTGTAATATAGATTGATTGATTCTGGGATTTGAAATGTATTTCTGGATGCCCCAAAGTCAGATGAGAAGAGAAAAAATGCTTACTATTATTCTACAAGGAAATTCAAGTTATTAATAGTATTTAATCAGGCCAACAATAGGACTGAATATTTAGCTTATTTCAATTATTTCTTATAAATTCATTTGATGCATGAATGCTGCATAACTAAGCTAATAAAATTATTACAAAGGATGATTCATTACATAATTATGATCCCTACACATGATAAACAGATCTAATAAAAACACCCAAGGAATATAGCCATCTGGTCTAAATGCAATATGCTCTGAATCTAATACATTTATATCTCCCTAAAAAACAACCTTCTTAAAAAAAAAACAAAAACAACCATTAAAACATTTAAGAGATATAGCAGGATTTCAGGGTTAAGTAGACCAATGCATAACAGTGGAGACACAGTCACACAGCTAGAATTACAGAATGCTAACCTCAGGATCCAGGCAAATGCATTATGTACCTTGACATCTTCGCTTCCTGTCATGACCTCACTCACTTCTGGCAGTGACTGCAGCAAAGGAAGCTCCTGGTACGTATTTGGAAAGCAGACGAGGGAACCGAGGATGGTGAGGGCTTCCAATCGAGGCGCCTGCTCACGAGAAGTGAAACACAGCCATTGTTCTTTTTGTAAAATCCAAACTTCAGATAAGTAACATGTTTCACTTCTTTGTGGTTTTGAGAGGGAAATCTTTAGAATTAATTTTATCCGAGATCAGAAAAATCAAACCATGCCTGGTGATTTTCTCTTAGGTACATACTTAAGCAAGCAAAGTCTATTTAAATGAACATTTTCAAGGAATGGAACATCTTACTGTACTGGGATGTGAAAACTGGCCTGCAGATTTCATTTAGAGTTAGAAAGGCAAAGGATTCAGTCATGACTGCTTTACACGGCCTTAGTGCCACTGCTCTCGACAAAGCAGGGCATCCTCATCCTCAGCATCATTATATTATTATTTTTGCTGTGAAGAACAAATGAGGAAACTCATAGGGAAGTGAGACTGGAGGAACTATGAGAGAGTAGTTTCTCTACAAAATGTCTTGTGTTTCACCAAGGACCACACTGCAAAATAACAAATGATGAGACATTCTATCACTATACCGAGTGACGTGCTGATCGTTTATTTGTCCATTATTAGAATTAGGTACATACTAAAGGAGTTATTTCATTAGATGTCGATTCAGCCAGCACTTCCCAGCAGCTGTGATTAGCCAAGAATGGGGGCACTCGCCAGGACTGCAAAGGAGCGTCATGCAGCCGCTCACTCATCTGTCCACTCATCCATCAATCTATTACCTAATAGTTGTACCAATGGCAGCTAAGGCTCAAATTCTCACTCTGAGCTAGGCAGTGTTCCACATGCTGTACAAGCATTTCCTTACATAATCCCTTCAGTGACTCAAAGGAGTAGATACTATTATCATTTCCATTCTCCAGAGAGAAAACAGAGGCTAAGAGGTTTTTTTTTTTTTTAAATATATTTAAGGGGAGAGAAGGAAGGAGAAGGAAGGGGGAGAGAGAGAGAGAGAGAGAGAGAGAGAGAGAGAGAGAGAGAGATATGGAGGAAAGAAAGAAGGTAGGGGTACAGAGAGCTCCCATCTGCATCTGCTGATTCACTGATTCACTCCCTAAATGCTCATCAGTGCAGGTGCCAGGACTCAGTCTGGGTCTCCCATGTGGGTGGCAGGGACTAAACTGATTGTGCCAGCACCAGCTGCCTCCCAAAGTGCATATTAGCAGGATGCAAGAATTGGGGGTGAAGCTGGAACTCAAACTACAGTACTCTGCCTATGGGATGTGGGCATCCCAGGCAGCACCTTAACCTCAGCCAGAAGCCTGCCCTAGAAGTAGCTTTACAAAGTCATACGGCTCCTAAGTGATGGATCCTGGATGTGAGCGGAGGCCACCCACCCCACGTTCACACTGGGCCTATCCTGTTGAGCACTCAGGGTATGAAAGAAAATTGAGCTTTCTTCCCCAGAGATGGGAGCACGTGTGTGGGGTGGAAGAAGAGAGTCAGTTACAGTTACGTAGTTCAGTGAGAAATGTGCTATGAAAGCAATATACCAGGGATGCTCTGTGGGCCCTGGATTGCAATTTTGATCAGGCTTGGCTCTCTTAAGTACACAGGTAAATAAAATCCAATAAAAAACATGGAGATAGTCTATTAGGTGAGGCAATGACCAGTTCTGCTCAGGATGGCCAGGAAACACTGAAGGAAAGGGCTGCCTCAGAGCCAGAGGAGTGAGAGGCAGGCAGGCCGGCAGTGAGCGAGGGAATGAGGCAACAGAGGCAAAGGCAGAGGACCCAGGGGGCCCACGGAACTCCGAGAGGGGCACAGAGCCCAGAGGGCAGGTGAGTGTGTACGCAGGGGTGGGCAGCTTCAGCTGGAGGAGTCTGAGAAAGGCACCAGGCCGCCTGGGAGGAGACCCACAGGGCACGGTACCATTCTCATCTCATTCCGGCTGAGGGGTGAAGCTGGGGACTGCAGAGCCAGTGGGTGCTGCCAGGAGGTTGGGGGGCAGGCAGTCACTGAAGTGCAGCCTAGGCCTGAGCGGCGACAGCTCAGGATGGGGTGACGGCATCAGGGAGGGCTCGCAGAATCTTTTATGCTTTATTTCACTTTTTCCATATAAAGAGTCAAAAGTGCAAGAGCAGCACGTTGAGAGTTGGGCAGGGAGCAGAGCTTTTGGTTGCATCATTTCAACAATGTAAAACCAAAGGGCATCGTCCACTGCTGATCTCGGCAGGCATTCATGCCGTCGATGGTTCCCGGTGCATCTGGGGACACTTTGATCACACTCCTCTGGGACACCTGCCTTGCTTCTCAGGGAGACCTGACCCTTGCCATTTCCCCACGATTGAATCTTTGGGATGCTGGGCACAATTCCTTCACTTCTCCTCTTGTCCATATATGATCATTCCCAAGCGATATCTAGAGCAATGGATTCAAATGCCTCCTACACGCTGTAAGTTCCCAACAATCTTGGATTCCAGATGTCCTTCCTGAACTCCAGATCTGTAGGTCCCACTGCTTGTCTGACATCTCCACTCAGGGTCAAGGAGGCAGCTCCTATAACCAACCCACCTTACCAATGTTCTTCTGGAATCCTGTGGTAGCTGTACCCTGCCCACCTTCATCACTCTCTGTTCTCTCTACCACTTCTACTTTTATTTTTATGTTAAGAAATCTTTAAACATAAAAATATAGAGATGATATATGTATGTGTGTGTGTATCTTGAACACTTAGGTTCAAGATTTTTACCACTCACGCCTTTTCATTTCTTCAGCACTAAAGTTACTTCAAATTTTCCACTTTGAATATTTAAGGCAAATTCAAGCCATTGGGCATTTTACCTCTGCATTCCCCAGCATCCTTGCTTTGAGTTTTCTCTCTGCATTCATCATTGCCGACACGTCAAGTATTCACGTAATGCCATGTACCTGCCGTGAAGGGGAGGGTCTCAGTCCTGGTCACTTCTCCAGTCCCAGGGACGGCCAGCAAGCACTGCTGGGAGAAGAGGGGTGGCTGCTGCTCTCCTCATTTACCGGGGTGAACACTGATCACCTTCTGGGTCTCTGCTTCAGCATCGCTTCTTCTACTAAGACTTTTCTGGTATGTGTCTTCCCCTCCGCTGCTTGCCTGGCAGAATTAACTATTCCCATACTGGTGCCTCTCTGGTCCTGTATATGACCCACAAGTGCTGGCAACAGCTTTGCAAATAGTAACACTTAGTCTACGTCGGATTCCTTGAAGGACCCTGCCTGTGGGGAGCAACTCGGACTATACTGTTACTGGAATTAAGACTTATTCTATGCATCTGCTCTCCCACTGTGGGGAGCAACTCGGACTATATTGTTACTGGAATTAAGACTTATTCTATGCATCTGCTCTCCCACAATATGGCGCTGGGAGAGAAGAAAGAGGCTTCTACACAGCTGCCTCCAGTTCAACCAAGGAACTGTAGGACCTGCTCCTGGTTGGAGGAGAGCAGCGTGCTCGGCGTGTGGGTAGCGAGTTGGGATTGGCGGAGGAGGACTATAAAGGAGGAGAGAGACGGCATGCACCAGGAACATCTAAGAGGAACATCTAAGGGGAACACACCTGTGCAGCCCCCGAGAGAGCCGGCCGGCGGTGTGCCGCTCCCCTGTGGAAGTGGGGAATGTGGCCAGGGGGAACTGCCCTTCCACGGAGGTGGAAGGGATAGTAGCCAACCCGGGAAGAACCAGCAGCAAACCCGGGGAGGGCCGAGCAGACAGAAAGAACAGCGCAGGGTCCTGTGTCGTTCCTCCACGAAGAGGGGGAGCGACACCTGCCATACTCATCCAGGCCAGGTGCTGACACATGGTAGATCTGTCACAGTAAATACTTCCCAGAACCTCGCCTGCCTCTCCTCACTAACTGGGGCTCTTCATTCTCTGGACAACCCTGGTTTGGTCTTTGTTGATGTCTGTTCTTTTCTCAGAGCAGCTCTGAATGACTGTGCAGTGTGTGAGCACGGCCTGCACTGTGGAATTTTAGATGCGATGCTAGATGCATGATATTAGAAGTTAAATAGATGCTAAAGCTGAGTTTACAGCAGGTCCCAATTTACAGACAAGGAAAATGAGGCCCACGTACTTAACATACATTGCCCAAGGATAGACAAATACAAGGCAATGTACCTGAAATGAACTTGGGACTGACTCGCTTGAATTATGAGATCAAGAATGGAAAGGGAATTCCAGGCAGAGGGGGCTGCCTGAGCCGAGGTGGAGGGTGTGCAATGCCTCGCTGGGGTCGGCCACCCTGGCAGGGAAGGGAGATGGGACAAATGGGCTGCAGAGCCCCTGAAAGTGCCTGCCCCACAGGCCATGCTACCAAAGCTGAGCTTTTATGAGAATGGAAAAATGACACCCAATGCTAACTGCTGGGGCAGAATGCTCACTGTATGCCCAGCGCTAACTGCTGGGGGACTGTGCTCACTGTACACCCAGTGCCAACTGCTGGGGGACCAAGATCACTGTACACCCAGTGCTAACTGCTGGGGGACCATCCTCACTGTACACCCAGTGCCAACTGCTGGGGACTGTGCTCACTGTACACCCAGTGCTAACTGCTGGGGGACCAAGATCACTGTACACCCAGTGCCAGCTGCTGGGGGACCATCCTCACTGTACACCCAGTGCTAACTGCTGGGGGACCATCCTCACTGTACACCCAGTGCTAACTGCTGGGGGACCATCCTCACTGTACACCCAGTGCCAACTGCTGGGGGACCATCCTCACTGTACACCCAGTGCCAACTGCTGGGGGACCATCCTCACTGTACACCCAGTGCTAACTGCTGGGGGACCATCCTCACTGTACACCCAGTGCTAACTGCTGGGGGACTGCGCTCACTGTACACCAGTGCTAACTGCTGGGGGACCATCCTCACTGTACACCCAGTGCTGACTGCTGGGGGACCGTGCTCACTGTACACCCAGTGCTAACTGCTGGGAGATTGTGCTCACTGTACACCCAGTGCTAACTGCTGGGGGACCGAGCTCACGGAACATCCCGGAAGCTTATGCTGGAGAAGGGTGGAAAGGATGGCTTCAGGGG